AATAAGTTATGAAAGAAAGAAAAAAGAAAAAAGACACATTTGCAAAAAATATAAGAAAAACTTGGGAAGCCAAAACTGAAATCTATGTTCAACCACTAATTATACTCCCATTAATAAACTTCATATTTAATCCAAGGGCGATTCATCTATTATTTATTCATTATCTCATTTAATATCAAAAAAAAAAAAAAATGAATATTACATAACGGTGGATTGAAACATAAAGCCTAGAAACTTAAAATCAAAAAGCATATTGAATATCAAGATTAGTGACAGTTTCTTAAAATTTGTTGTCATGAATTTTTAAAAGAAATGAAATCTTCTCGAGAAAATTTTCTTAATTTCTAACAACTTTCTTTACCTTTTATAATTGCATTTAACAAATAGAATTTTTATCTACCGCTGATGAACGAAGACGAAAAATGAAGTTTGACAATTCTTTTGCAAGAATTGTGATACTTGTATTAATCATGAAAATTGTTTGTATTATAAATTATCTTATTCCAAATATAACTCTAAATTTAGGTTAAGCGAATTAACCTTTCAAATATTCATTTTAAATATTAAAATTTGATGTTTTTATGAAAGATCGGAACATTGACGCTACTAAAACAAGTAATAATGATGTAGTTTAATTAACTAAAATGAATTATCGGAATTCATATTGCGTGCAAAAGATGGTCAAGGAGGAAAAATGCAAGAAAAAAGCAAGTTGTTCTGAAAAATATCTAATAAAATTGACAGTTAAACTTTAAAGAAATGAGAAATGATGAGAGTTGAAAGAATCTAACGTTGTTTATCATAGTCTGATTGCATTAAATATTGAAAAAAGTTTTCATCTTCTTTATCAGATATTTGATTGGTTGAGTGTTATTGAAATTGATGTAGTTGTTACTACTATTAGAGATTGTTCTCTGAATGTGAATAGTTCCAAAAAAGTTGGAAAATAATAATTTTCATCAAATTCATGAACAAAAATTATATTTCTATATACAGCATATATGTAATTTGCTAGGTAATTTTGCTGTTATGATTAATGTTTATCAGTCGTACTTATTAGTGATGACTCGATCAACAGATAAACATATTTTGAATTTTAATTAATCTCATCAAATCAGATTTTGAATTTAGCAGATGCATTGCAGAAAATTTTCCATATTTTTTAACAAAAGTGTTAATCAAAAATGTCGCTCTTCATCTATGCTCCGTTGCAATAATATGCTTTCATTATGATGATAAAGTAAATATTTTATTTAAACTTTAACTATATTGTATTAGATATTTGTTATTAGCAAGTTTTTCTAAGTTAAATTAAAGCCTAAGAGCTAGATTAGTTTAAATCGATTCAATAAACTGAAGAAGAAAGCGGTTTGATATGAATCGATTTGATTCGATAACTTAGATAAGTAAATAAAATCATTACTGATTAGAGTATTACGGGAAGCACTTTTGAAATGTATCACCAATTACAGCTTAATTTAACTTTTTCACATGAATCTGATTTCCAATTCACGGTAAAGAGTTATGATAATATACTAGTCAATGATAACAACTACTTGTAATTTCATTTTGCTTTTTTGAAATTAATTAGAATTTCATTTAATTTTAAGAAAAAACGAAAAGCTTTTTTCAATAGAAAATATTAAGTAAAAATTTGCTAAAATCTAACGATTAGATTTGACTTTTTATCTTAACAATAATTGTAACTTGACATATAAAACATTAGTTTTTTTTTTGAGGAACAGATGAAATATTTTACAAAATGTCCTTCACTACTGGCTTTAATCTTTGAAAGATTTTTAATTTTTGTATTTTTGATATTTTTCTCTTAATGAAAGTTTGTATGATGCAAAAATCACATTTTTGTGTTCAGCAACGATTTCAATAATTGTTTAATTAATTTAAAAATGTTGGATTTGCAATTATGGCACAAAAGTGCTTCTCTTATCACAAAATTTGTTTAGAAATTAAGAAAGAAACATGCATGTTTAATCATTTTATCAATTCATTTTTGTCGAACAAAAATGCTGCATTACTCTGCATATGCTGCATATCATTGCAATGATCAAGTGATCAATTGAAATTTGCATGTAAATGCAGATAAACAGTAATTCTAATTCAAATTTTAAATTTTGCAAATATTTTGAAGTATTATGTTAAAAGTTAAAAGTTGACCGTACAATGAAATAGAAAATTGATCAAGAAAAAAAACGAGAAAACAGGATCACTTCTAGCAGTTAATATCATGCAATTTGCCATCGAGTGCAAAATAAAACAATCAGTGTTTATAATTTTTTTTTTTCTAATTGCATTAATTGTCGGATTATGAATTTACCATTTATAAAGGAAAAACTGATAATATTATGATAATAAATGGTGGTGGAAAAAAATGACTCAAACCTGTCCTACATACTATGCTTGAATATTTTGATGTAACCATCACTAATCCGGTTTTTTGGGCACTTATTTTCAGTTGAGCAACACTGTCGGTGATTCTAGAAGTCATTATGACAATAAGGGCATCATCATTATCTCTAATCATCATCATTTTATACATTGCAGGGTAGCTCATTTAATTCTCGTTAAAATTCATAAAATTTCAATTCTGAAATTTTTAAAAACTTTTTCTATTTTCTGATCTTTTAGATTAGGGTACAATTGTAAAAGTTATCATAAATCTGCCAGCTTTAATATTTTACTAAACCTCAATTTCTTGTCAATGTCAACTTTTTTGCTCAGTATAACAGAAATTTAGAAATATTAATTAAAATTAATGCAATCTTTGTTAAACTGAAATATTTAGATAACTGTTATCAGTGAGAAGATTGAAATTGAAAATATAATGTTTTGTTCAACAATTGTAACAGTATTAGTTCGAAGAACCGGTTGAAACGAAAATGTTATTATCATTGAAGTACTGTGAGCACCTGATGCATTTCATATCCAGAAACTAGTATACAAGATCTGCTCCTTTGCTCTCTCCTCTTGTCCCCTTTAATCGTCATCGACAAAACATCGAAAATGTTTGTTCCTGCTGATTTCCACACTTTATAGAATGTATCTCCAACAGTGTTTATACTTTTGTCAGTCAAACAGTTGCGCCTTATATCCTTGTATACGTACTGAATTTATTATCATTTTAAGTAGATTTTTCAAAACTTGTCCATTGTTATTTCTAATTCCGAATGTTTATTTCAGGAATAAAAACATTCAAACGTTGCCATTAATTACTGGTAGGAAGTTGAAATTTCTCTCAGTCACTCACAATTTATTTATTAATTCAAGTTTAAATCAGTAATTGGACTAAATTCTATTGTAAAGCAATGCATAATTATATTATATATCTACTGCTCAAAACTACGATTTCAATTAATGTTTATTTCCTTGCAATATTTGATAGCTGTCAACTCTGTGTCGTTTTTGTGTGAGAACAATTGGTAGTGATTAGTAGTAATCAATAACTTTATTTACGTTTTGACAAATCACTCATTACTATTTACTTTAATTAGATCTAAAAGTTTTTTAAAAACTATGCGTGATTCTGTCAAATTTTCAAATTCTGTGCAAAATGTTTTGAGAAAAGTATTGATATTATAGTAAAATTCGAATTCTCTAAAATTCAAGCAATGTAAGTATTATTGTAACTTATTTAACAGACGAATTCTAGCACAGCTCATTTTGAAGGTCAGAAATGTTTGAAAACTTCAGACATACCGAAAAGATATTATCTTCTGCAGGTCAAGAATACTAAGCAGTCAGTTCAAATCAATGGCTATCAAGCTAATAAGCGAATTTTATGAAAAGTTTAAATATCATAAAAATTTTGATATTGCACAAATGGTATTAGCAGGTTAACCAAACTTACAGCAAGAATTAGTTTGATGAATTCTAACCGCTAAATGTTGATTCGTGAATTAATTCAAAATTTTTCTTTTATTAATAATTTCTAAATTTCAAAATTTCATATTTTTTGATGTGCAAATTTTTAGCTTATAATCAAAGATGAGCAGTTTTTGAAATATGAAAAAAAATAGTCACATAAAATTTTGGATAATTATCTTGCATTATAATCTTTTTGTTTACATTTTCCAAATAGCATACAAACTATTTATCATCAAGAAGTATGTTTAAAATTTTTATTTGCTATAGTGATGGACAAATAAGTCAATTTCCAATTTTATAATTCAGGAAATTATAAATGAAAAGTGCAAAATAAGCCCATAATTTTATATTTTTCAGTCGAATTTTAATTCTTAATAAGATATATACTGATTTTCTGCTATATTATTTATAAGGAATTAGTAATTTACGATTGATGAGAAGCTCGAATATTAACTTAAAAGTATTTCTACATTAATTTAAAAAGTATTTTCTTCGAAGAGTTATATTACTATCATTTTTGACAGAAATACAAGTCAGTCGTAGTGATTTCAATTTTTACTTTTTAAATTTAAATATATCATCTTTGACATTAAATATAACTTATCCTTATGCTAATATCTCTCACAATATGGAAACTGAGTTATCAATCTTAAAAGCAATGAAATTTCATGAGATTTTCACTTAAAAAATGATTGATGAATGCTTTTAAATGTGGTTTGTATCTGAAATTCAATGTTCTTTTGGGCCAAATTTTTTTGCGGTGCTTTCTTGTTACCTTTTTATTGGAAGAAGTTTGAGCCAAATTGAGGTAGCATTGATAGCAAAAGAAATATTTAACTAATATTTTAAAAAAATTAATCCAACTCAATTAAATAAAAAATACTAAAATGATTGTATTCTATTTGCCATTTCCATGCTTCAATCATTGATTTATCGATGTCACATATGATTGTGACAAACTAATCGATATTTATATGTTATAATATTCAGATCATTGCTCTGTAAGAGTGAAAATGACAGTTGAAAGACAGAAATGCAAACTAAAAACATTGTATTGTCGCACTGCTCGAATATTACTTTTTATTATTGGAGTCATATTAACCTTTTTTGGTATATCGATGGCATTCCTGGCACCACATCTTATCAATGCCAAAATTTATCAGGTAACAGTAGTGATAACTCTTTCAGCATTGAAACCGCTAATCAATCGAGATTGAGAGTTATTATTATTTTATAACAATGAACATTCAAATTTATGAGTTAGGTCTCATATTTAAATTTGACCTTTAAATATGTCATTTTGTAGCAAAAGAATATTGCGCCAAACAATGAATTATATCATTTATGGGAAAATCCCGACTATAAATTCAGTTCCGAGATTTTTGTTTACTCAGTGAAAAATCCACAACAGGTTTTTTCATTTTTATTACAAATAATATTATTTTGCAAAATATTGCTTTCAATTATCTTTCAAAATATTCAATAAGTTCTTTTCAATTATTATTTGTTAAATAATCTTCTACTTTTCATCCTATTACTATCTTTCATTGTATCAAATAGTAAAAAGTAAAAAGTCGGGTAGACAAATATGTTTGAATAATTGAAAATTAATTTAAGCATATTTGTTAAATAGATTTGAAGTCAAGTAACTTAATCAAAAACAAGGTAATAAATAAATAAATAAAATAAAAACAAGTCTCTTTTATAGATTTTAGATGGAAATAAGCCAGAAATGATTAAAATAGGCCCATATGCGTACGAAATGAGTTTGAAAAAAAAAATTCTTGGATTTGGCAATGGTTCTGTTAAATACCAAAATGTCCATAATTTCACTTTTGACAAGAATGCTTCCTGTGCAGAATGTTCACCAACTCGGGAAATTTGGATTCCAAATATTGTTTTTCAGGTTTTGATCCATTTTTTTCATTAAATAGAATAATCATTTGAAATTCTCAAACGTATGTAGTTTTATATTTGTTAATTTTTTCAGAAATTTGTCGAAATCGCTTCAAATCCGGTTACAACCATGGCACAACTTGCTCTTCCTTCACAACAACCATTTTTGAAAGTTTCCGTAGACGATATTTTATTTAAAGGGTACGAAGATCCATATCTTACAAATGTTAGTTCCTAGAATTCTTAACTATATATATATATGTACTTTGGTTTATCGCTAAGTGAATGATATTATCGCAGTGAAATATAAATAATAAATTTTATTTTTATTTAATTGTTTTGATATTATTGAGTTTGCATACTTTGCATACTCGATTTATACACATATATGTGAACATTTTGTTAAGGTATGTGCAATACCACTTGTGGATATAATTTGCAAATCGGTATTGAAAATACCGAAGAAAATTGGTTTTCTGATGCAGGTAAGTATTAAATAATTCCTGATTTCAGTAATGATTTTAATAATTATCTATTACTTAGATTTTCGTTTTTATTAACATCCTGCAAATGAATAAGCAGAAATTTGACGTACAATACAATCGACAAGTCAATAAAGAAATGGAATTAATTACATTGAAGTGAATAAATTTGTAACTACTAGAATTACTTGTATCAAAACGATAAGTTTGAGTTTGTATTAACTTAGACTTATCAAGCTTCATTGGCAGCTATACCATTAGTCACAGATTATGATATATTTTAACAGTTTAGACTTGATTGAATTAGTGATAATCTGATGTTGGATTGATAAATTGATTTCAGATCATACTTCGTAATCAGCTTTTGCTAAAGTAAAATCAGGTTGTTTGTGATTAATAGATTAATTACTGAAAAAGCAGGCAATTTTAGAGGAATGGAGCTCAGAAAATTGTTGAAGTTACCACTGGTAGCAATGATGGTAGTGGAACTGCTGGAGAAATATTAAGTTGGGATGGCTTAAAATCATTACCTGCCGATTGGTGGAATAACAAAGAAGCTAGGTAATTATACATTTTCTACAAATTAAAATTACAATGAATATAACATTAAATGTTTTATTAATTCACAAATTAAAATGTGATGTTAGTATCTATTAAGAAAAGTATATTACATCTTTCCTTAAAAATCTTATGCGATGTGATGATTAAATTTTTAGGATAATTAATGGCACAGATGGTGAATTTTACAAGCCACTTATCAAAAAAACTGATATAATTTATGTGTTTGCTCCTGATCTTTGCAGGTATATTTGCTACCTGTTTGTAATTTATTGCTGTTACTTTAAATAATATTATCTCTTACCTTTTGTTATATTTGTTTTGTTATGCACATAAATATGGCAGAGCAATTGAACTAGTTAAAGTTTGAATTTGCACAGAAAAGAATGAAACAATCTTAAATTTAAAGAAACTTTAAAATACTTATTTTGACTTTTTGATTCTTTTTTTTTTTATTTGAATTCGATAGTGTTTGTAAGCTAATTGGTGCAATTTAGATTTTAAAAACATTTTTTCCAACTTTTGGTTGTCATTCATTTTAGATCAATACACCTAACATTTGAGAAGGAAATCGAATACAAAAATATACTAGCATATCGTTTCACGGTAAAGGAAGATTTGCTGGATCCGACGATACCTGGTAATGAAGGATTTTGTCATAATAACGGGAAGACATTCTTTTCAGAAGACGAGAAGTGTTCTCCAAAAGGACTTCTGGATCTCAGCCATTGCTACAATGGTATATATCAACACAATATATGAATTTAGGAGAAAAAATTGAAATCATTTCGATCTAATTAAATGAATGATTATAGGATTAAAATATGAGCCAATGGCGAATAAATTATAATTTTCTTAAGATTCCTTGAAAACCCTTAAATTTCTTGAAAAGCAAAAATTCCTGTTTTATTTTTTTCGCAGATAATAAAATAAAATTAAAATTTCATTTTCAGGTACACCGCCCATTCTTTTCTCTTTTCCTAATTTTTTATATGCTGATAAAAGAGTAAAAGAATCAGTTATTGGTCTTAGTGAAAGCTCAATAGAACATGATGGTATCGCTATTGAAGTTGAACCGGTTAGTATTAACTTTCTTAACATTACTGAAATCAATTATGATAACTATACTGTTGATAATTTAGTTTCACCAATGATTTTTAATTGAAACATTGATTTTTTAAAAATTTCAGCAGACTGGAACTCTTCTTCGAACTTATATTCGATCACAGATTAACATTGCCATGTGGAAAGGTCGAGGAATCATTTACCAGTTCGCTGCGTAATAAAATTTCCTCACATTCGAAATTAATTTTTTTCGCAGACGTGTACATCTCATGTATGTAAGGATAGATATGTTGGTCGAAGTACTAAATTCCTGAGCTCGAGCCGTTGTTATTCAGTTTTTGATTTCAAGAAGGTAGCGCACAATTCCGGCAGGAACTTTTATTGCTCATTCATGATCTATGCTCATAAACTTTACTGCAGAATTTACAGCAGTTGAAATTTATATAAATAACCATGATAAGTTATGCCTTTTTGACGGTGAAATAATCACCGAAAGGTGTAGTTAAAGCACTCCTTAAGAATTTCAAGTTTGCGCTTGCCCTTGAATATCACTGAGAATTTATTTTGCTTTATATGACAATAACAAATAATTAGTAACAGTTTATCTCAGACGTTATTTTAGTGCGGATTTGTCAAGGATGCGAAATGCGATAGTACCATTATTTGCCGAATATCAAGTAGTAGAAATTGGCAACGATTCATTAGCGCTTCTGCGAAGAATGCTTCTACTTATGAAAGAAGCATTTGCATTTCTCTGTTTCATTCCTATTTCTACTGGTATTCTGCTTATTTCCATTGCTATCTCCATCGAATTACTCTTAAAAGTTCGTTTTTCTTCTTTTTTTTTTTTGCAATTAGATTTATTGAACACTCAATGTTTCCTTTTCAATACATTTCTTGTCTTATAGCTGCTGTATATTTCATTGAGATTCAGTTTTCTTTTTTTTTTTTTTTAAACTTAATTTTTTAATCGCTATCAAATAGAGTGGATGGTGATTATAATGATAATAGTAATAATGATGATGATCAGAACAGAAATTGATTAAGATAAAAATAGACATCGGAAAGATTAATCTATTGTTAATGTAGCGATCATATCAAACAAAAAATGATTGTTACTGGAGAAAATACAAAAAACTATAGGATTTATATTACAAATTTTATCAATATCTATTTAAAAATGTTCTTTATTTGTAAAATATTTTCAACAATTTTAATATTTTATTTATTTCTACATAATTTTTATACAACTAAAAATTTTAAAAACTTTTACATCTCAATCATAAAGCTGAAAACTAATTTAGACCAGAGTAATCAAGAAACTAATGAGAGACAACTCAAACAAAGTGACAGTACAAGTGCAGTCGTTACCTGGCAATTAGAAAAAGTATGTGTCATTTAAATTTGACAATTCACACATGTGATCATATTTTATTTAAGGTAGCGGGTAAAAAAGTATTTCATTGTTATTTCCTTATTTCTGCAGGTAGAAGGTTAAAGATGTATAAAGTAATTCTTCTTTATGATTTCTTTTCCATATTATTCGCAAATTAGAAATGAAAAAATTTTAGAAGTTTTTGTTATTTATTGTCAAAGTAATACAATGTTAGTTTAATTTAAATAACGAATATTTTTTTAATAATTAATAATAATATTGGTGCAATATAATATGAAGAAATCATCATTTAAATATTGTTAAGCCTATGCCGACTATTTTATCATTATCGATACAGAACACACAACAATAGTAATTTTTTTTTTATTTTATATAATTTTAAGTAATAATTAATAATACCAATAATAATTAATAATAATAACAATGCATTTATTAGTACTTTAAAAACTACAAATAAGATTATCATCCTTAAAAAAAGCATTATAATATAAATTCTTTGTTATAAATTCGTTTTTTCTTTTTTAAAATCAAATTGATGATTATTGTGGGAAATAACCGATAGGTGGAGTGTAAAAGTTGTCACCGCGGTAAATGCCCTATTTCTAATGGTGATGACAAGGACAAGGAGTAATTGATGTTCGAAAATTCTATCACTATTGATAAGCCTAAAATGTACTTCAAAATTATAAAACTTTTTTCTGAAAATCTCGGATTTCAATTCACCCATATTTATTCACTTTATCTGAACTACTTTTCATTGGTTATAAAAGTACCAAAAAATACATTTGCAACCATTATCTATCTTCTTCCTTTCATCACTGAAACGGGTAAAAATTTTCGTCGCAGATTTCGTCCCTAAACTAGAATTTCAATCTCATCCTTCCCTATGGTAATTTTTTTGGTAACGTTTATAATGACCAAACCAAACCCACCAACATAATTTTAAAAAAATCGATAAACAAAAAAAGAATCTTTGTACTGTCGTGAATTTAAATCAAAATCGAAACTAGAAATCAGGAATTATAGGCCGACTCATTCTTCCTATTTAGATTTCGTATTTTATGTTTCATTTAATTCTGCACTTTTTCAATTCCATCAGAAAACTAATGACAGAGCTCCTGGAAATATCAGGAAATGAGCAGGAATCAATGCTTGTCTTAACAAGTACTTGAAAATTAATTTCTTCTACAAATGAGGCAATAAACAAAAAAAAAAAAAAAAAAAAAAAACTTAAGCCTATAAGAGAGAGCGAGAAAAAAAACTTGAAGATTTAAATTAAAAAAACTAAAGCTTAAATTCTCATCCAATGATATTCAAATGCACCCTCAGTCATCAGATTGAAGACCAAATGCTCGCTTTATGATTTAATTTTATCCTAAATAATTGATAACTCGGTAATAAAAAAAGCTTATCAGTCCAACCACTCCAAAAACGTTATTTGCAATATTTTCTAAGATTTGAAACATTTTAAAATGAACAATTTTTCATGACGAATTACTGAAGGTTGTATCGAGCAGCTTTAAAATTAAACATTAATTAGTACAATGGACGAGTGTACTGACTTTAATATAGCAATCAGAGAAAAAACCCACTTCATTACCAACCATAGCGAATTAAACCTAGTACTTTCCATGTAGAACTTTTAGACTGAATAGTCTACACAGCTTCGTAGCATAAATATAAATTCTTATAAGATCAACCTGAAAGTCTCAAAGTGAATAACAGTGATAAGGTCATATTATTCAACATCTAGTTCAAATATTCCACATTAAATCATACTTATAGAAGCATTTTGCCAAAGAACAACATATGCAGTCATACTGATTACAGAATTCGACAAACCTAAAGTATAAATCTGTAAAATTCCGTTTTGTTGTTCCTTTTGCTCTTAATGAAGTGGTTTTATTCTTGTCTGATGGAAATTAATAAAAAAAAAAAAAAAGGGCGATTTCTGAAGAAAGCAAAGACTGAACATAATAATGTGAAAACAAAGTTACTTATTAACACTTCAATTTCACGTTGGGAACTGCCTTAATTTTCATTTATTATTTAACCACAAATATTAAGATTTTACAACTGCGGTTCACCCGTAAAAACATACCAACATGTTGAAATGCAAAATAAGATGCACAGTTGACATTGTTCTTGTGTCCTTTTAACCTTATAATCGAAACAGAACAGATAAAAATACTATGATAAATTCTGAACAGATGATGGTTGAGATGCAGTAGCATCTTTTTCATAATCGCTGTGATCTTCGATATCTCCACTGTCTTTATCAACAATGTCAAGTTCTCGAGAAGACTGCGAAGTGCTGAGTAAAATGGACGATGGCGTTGAAAGAGATTCAAGTAATTTCGCTTCTTCAATCATAACTTGCTCGGTTAAATGCTTTAGTTCTTTTGATGGATATGTATTGAGAATTTTATCTACTTCTGCTGATAATTCATCCGTTTCCCTGCAATGCAAAATATTTCATTAAAATCTCACCTTAAATGAAAAAGAGGAAATTACCCAATTTCAACATGCAACTGCAAATAAAATAGAAAAATTTTTGCATATAACTCTGAAGTAGTACTACCTTTTCACACGTATTTCAAGGTCGTTCATGAGTCCCTTCAAATTTTTCTGTCTCTCAAGTAGTTGGCGTACCTGTACCAAGGAATTTTCCATAGTCCGGATCGACTGAACAAAATTATCTGTGTATATAATTATGAAAATAAATCGAATACTATTATTGATAATAACGCCAAAAAATTCAAATTTTTGATCAGTAAAAAAGTGCACCAGTCAAGTTTTATCAACAATTTTTCAATTTAAAAAAAAAGACATCAAAGGAAAATTTTCTATTTGGTAACAGTTCAAAATGCTCGTCTTTGGCAAATTAATTCAAAAAATAAAAGAAGAAAGAAATTTCTGCCGAATATAAAAATGGGTGACACCTGGTTACATCCCATATTCATTGCGTTTAGTGGAGGTACTTGATGACCTGAAGTATACGCTTCAAATTCTTCTTCTGGCATTTTTAAGCTTTCGGCATTCATATTTTGCACAAATTGTAGCGCACAACTCACATTCGTAAAGTAATAACCTGAAAAAACACATGATGACGGAAAATTATTGGAGTAATTTTATTTGCATCAGTTGTGATCTCACCAATTTCACAAAAATATTTTTTCGTCTTATCGGTAACAATTTAATATATTTGCCTAATGGCATTAATTCAAAAAATTAAAAAAAAAACCTCGAAAAAAAGCAATTTCCAACTTTATTTTTTCATTCTTTTACAAAAAAGTTAACAGTCGAACAACCTGACTCGCCACTCAAAACCCTGGCAGGTAGAGCAAATCGACTGACAAATTTGACGTTCGATTGAATAAGTGGTGGATTTCCCTTTAGAATTACAAAAATCAAAACCGGCAAATATTCATCGGCACCAGCCGGAGCGCCTACAAATAAAAAAACATCTTAGGATGAACCGTACGTATATCGCAGTTATGGAAAGGAATAACAATTCCAAAGAATTAATAAAACAGATGTATTTAAAAATTGGTTTTGTGCGCCTATAAATAAGAAAAAGAAAATCTTAGTATTACAAAAAAAAGTAGTTATACTAAGATGTATTTTTTTTATATTTCTTAAAAAAAAAAAAAACAGAAATTATTCTGACTTATTACAGACTTATTCTACTGGTAAAAACTATTTTACATTCCGTGATGACTCGTTAACAGCTGTTTTAACAATTTAAAAATACATATCAGTATAACTACTACTATTAATCAAAACGACTACAATATTACGAGGATACATTAAAATAAGTTCCAGAGCATTGGTACTGATCAGTATCACCAACCTGAGCGACTTTCCTTTAGTGCCTCGAAGATCATTTTTGAACAACGAACCAAACATTGCAACTTTTCTGCTGCTCCACGATGACTGTTCATATCAATAATCTCAGTTATTGCTTCATCCAATTTATCACGAACCTGTCAATTAAAAACTTTCAAATGTAAGTCTTTTAATAATGAATACGTCAGATGAAGTGATGCAATTTACCGATTCCTGACTAAAATCAAGAGTGGTTTCCAGAAAACCTGCTGTAACCCAATTCAAAGATCGTATTCTATCTTGCAAAGATAGATCTGCAGTTTCTTCGTCAGCTCTAGAAAAACATTCTAATTTAGATATTTAAAATTTTAAACAAAATGAGAAAAAGTCAAGAATTCTACTAATACTCTACTCCATAACAAACGTAATCCTAATAGTCATAAAAGATTTTATGAACCGAACAAAATTAAATAAATACATGTCCAGAAAAAAGAAACAAAATGACATGCCTAGCGCAGAACAATGTGCTATAAGCCCGTACACATATATATTGCTCTACTTCTCCCATTACTTCTTCAACACTCACATCAATCAATGAACCTGAAATTTCACGAAACATGGCATATCAGATATATGAATTGCTGAACTATTTCGTAAAATATGTTAAGACTCATGAAGCTCTCTATGTTCTACATTAATATTTTAAAAACTTATTTTTAACAACGAAACAGTTACCACTTATAATGGGGTTGTGACGCATTTTGTCTGCTAGTACCTGATAAAAATGTTGCACCATACTTGAGAGGTCATCCATATTAACGTTCTGCTGCTAGAAATCAAATAAGCTACACAATTTCAAGTACCAGTTTAACGAACCCAATTCTAGAGAATTACAAAAAGTAGATCGTAAGCAAGAAAACTCTTCAAATTTTATCATTTCAAAAAAATTTATTTCGAGAACTGAAGCATTCCTGCTTATCTATGATTAAATTTGGATAGGAAAATCAAGCTAACTTCCAGAATTTTATCAACAGCGTGATGCGTTTGCTGAGCTATTTCATGAGCAGCTGATTGCGGAAGATTATTTTGAAGAAACTCGTGAAAACGATCATAAGCAGAGCTGCTTTCTTCACTAAGACGATGTCTGGAAGTTGATTATTAATAAATGTTCTTCATAAATTAGAACAATGAAAGTCAATTATTTTTCCAGTAATATGCGTAAAGAAACGACCAAACTTTTGGGTTTTATTCTCTTTTAAACTAATGTAATTTTCATCCACCCTTATTACGTCTCTTGCTTTTTTCTTTTTTTAATATATATGCAGTGAAGAAAGATTGGAGATGTTTTAAATTATAAGTTCATGCTAAGAAGTAAAATGGAAGAAAAATTACGGAAATAAACGAAACTACTAAAAGAAAAAGATACAAATAAGTGCTATCAAAGAAAAAAGAAAATGAAATACCTTATTGGTGTAACAGGAGATGGTAGTGTAGAATGTGATGCAGATGTTGTAAATACCATTTCTCAAACAAAATATTTAAAAAAGAGAAAAAAAAATGAAATTTGTTTTTCGCAAGCTTATCAAAAGTGCTGAATATAACATGCAAATAATGACAAACCTTGAGAGGAGTTTGAATTAGCAGTTAGTGATGGTGATTTTCGAAGAATCGATTTTAACGTAAGTGAACGACTTTCTGTTGATAGCTTCCGACGTCCTTCAAATTTCTCGAAACTTAGAAGTTCTCTACAAATAAAAAACACAGACTGACTTGCAGGGAACTCAGTAAGCAAAATAAAAACCCAGAATTTTCTGAAAAAAATTATTGAGAACCTATTTTTAGTATAGCACTGTGCTTTCTTCTCCTCCATTTGATAAGCTCGCCAACACTTCGAGCATCTCCCTTTCCATTGTGGTGTACCGTAGAAACCACACTGATTAACACAAAGCTGCAAAAACATGATAAAACTGACCTGGCTTATCTGAAGGTTAAGGAAAAAATCCATGAAAAATCCATGCTTACATATTAGTTACCGTTCAATCACTACAATATTCTTAGTTATCCAATTCAGATTTTCAATGACTAAAGTGTAATTTTGTAATTAGGATTAAGAAAGCAAAGAAAGTAAACATCCAATTAAAAACTATAAAGATTATACCAGATCTCCTTCTGTAATTTGCACTCTCAATCGTTTATCAGATGAAGAAGACTTCAGTAGTTCTTGAGTTCCATTATTCTCTACTTCAGTGCCATCCATCTTGAATTCGCTAAATTTTAAGATCTAAACAATAATGCTAATATCACTATAGAAAAGATACGATGAAACTAAAATAATTCGAGAGGAGAAACAACCAATAGTTTAAACTCAAAACACGACAACTCATAGCAAATGGAATTTGAATTATTCAATGAACTGGAAAAATTAACAATGAAAAAGGTGAAAACCACAAATAACAATACCGGTTTACTCGGAAATCAAAAATCAGCAATGACCAACCAATGTTTAATAATATACTGCAATTAACAATGGTACCAATAAAACCGTGAAAGCCTGTTTGAAGACAATTTATCTATACTTCAACCATTTAATTAAGTAAAAACTAACCTACATGCACTTAATTAAGTAGGAAGTAACCAACATATACCAAGTGGGCAATTTGAAATAGTTGCAATTATCAGTAAGGATTGTAAGTATTCTTATTACATGCAAAGTGTATTTCCGAGGTAAACGAATAATTCAAAAACCTGATTTTGATAAAACTTTAGAATTCTTAAGATGAATAAAACATTCAGTAAAACATAAATAAGGAGCTTAAAAAATCAGATATTTGAATTTTACTTCTTATGCATCGCAAATGATGTATAAAATTAATCCAATAAAAATTCTGGCTATGTCTAAGCTAAACAAAAAAAAAAGAAGCTATAATCAGTAAAAGTATCATCCATTCTGCTTATAAGCACTGTGATCAAATGGTCTTAAAACATTCCTTCATCATATATTTTTTCTTTAATTTATAACTTTATATAATCCATTAATTTCCGAACAACTTCAAAAATATAATTTTCAGTTTTTGTCAATAAAGACCCATTTGCATTTGTACAAAATGAATACCTAAATATACAACAAATTCCTTTGCAAGTAATAATAAAATGAATTTCCCAGTATTGCGTTTCAATTAAACTAGCAATGAAGAACCTATTAATTGCATAACTACATGAAATGAAAAGAAAATTCTAGCCTCATTATTTAACTGATCATCAAGCAATACAAATATCAACACTGGAAATTAAATTTCTTTAAAAAAATAGGAAAAAAAAATATGAAAGACTCAAATGTGCTAATTTTAGGATTTAAGAAATTGAAATCTAAATGAAGACACGATATTATTTTAAGGTACAGAAATCGAAACAATATTTTCAACAACCAATTTGTTTGACTCCGAATGAAACAAAAATATAAATCACAAACAATAACTTAAGTGAACATTTGATCGAAAAGATCTAAGTTGAAAAGAATCAGATATCTACAACAGTAACGTCATCGGAAGTGTCATCAATGCTTCGTGACTTCTTTGGTTTCTTTATTTTTCGTTTTTCTTCTGGACAAAATGGATTTTGCTTCTCATAAAATTCTTTCAACAACTTCACAGCCCGACTAACATTAAGATTTGGCATAATTTCAATGAAATGTTTAGCTCCATACTTTTCCCTTGTTCCAACACTAAGTAAACCACCAAATCGTTCATTTGCTGCACCATATAAGATTTTTTTCAAATGCAAATGATATAATGCTGAAGCACACATGATGCATGGTTCAAGGGTAACGTATAGAGTGGTGCAGCGCATTACATCCTCCAACTTACGTCCGTTATCCGTGCACCACTGTTTCATCATTTCAAGAGCAACCATTTCTGCATGATACGTGGGATTCTTCGAACGATTTACATCATTTCGCCCAAAAGCTACTTCTTGACCTTCGAAAACAAAAACACAACCAACAGGAACTTCATTATTAGCAACTGCATCTACAGCTATTTCAAAGGCTCGATTCAAAAAATGAACTTCTTCCTTGTTTAATTTCTCTTCCAATGACATCAGTACAACATCCACACCACTTCGCTAGAAATAAACCATCTAAAGACCAAGTGACTTCGGTCAAACACTGACCTGGCCGCAATTACTTCACGACTTCTAACTTCTGCTGAAAAAACACAGATGGACAATCCAAGTTGTAAAAGGAACAAAGTAATCCATAAACCTATAACAGAAATCCAATCCAAGTCATTTTATTGATAAAAGTGCACGGACTGATTGGATAAAAAAACTTTAGTTAAATTTTAATTGAATAGATTTCTGTACACAGCAGAACTTCCCAGAACATCTTCTGAAAACTTTAATTACTACGTCTTAATTGGTAGGGAAGAGAAATATAGTGAAGTTGCATTGGATATGTGAACCTGTAACATCAGAGAATGTAGAATGTATTCAGCATCGCAATATCGAATACAATATGAATATCTAATAGCATTCATGGGAACATCTAAAATAATTGCTTCCTCTTCTGATGGAATAATCAGTATAGATGATCGTATTAACGGTAATGAACTGGTTATGGAGAAATGAAAACACAGCTTTATTAATAGTTGAATAACACAACATAAGCATCACAGATAAGGTCTAAACACAACTACTACAGACTGGAAAGATGAATGAAATCATATCAAAAAATCTATGGAAATGGTATGAATAAATAAAGATAATTTTATATCACTCTACTTTAACAATAATGAAAATTTTCATATCTTACATAATTCTAGAAAAATCCACCGATAACCACAATAGTTTGAATACCTGCATTTTGTGAAGTTGCAAGAAAAAATCTGCAAGGTAGCAACAACTTATTTGCTATTGTCTCTATCGTACGCCGGCAATCCTACGCTTTCTGGTTTGAAATCTTCTAAACTTCTAAGTATCGAATTAATTTTATTTTGCAATTCATCAGGAATCTTCATGTAAGTTAAATCTGGTACCATAACAACATTCATGCCAGCTGCTACTGCTGCATATACTCCATTAGTTGCATCTTCGAAAACGAGAACATTTTCAGCTTTCTCAGGTTTCTCTTCGAACCTAGCCATTGTTACCAGAAAGGGATCTGGAGCCGGTTTCCCTCGTTTGACGGCAGGATCATCACCCGATAAAACCTGAATGAATTAAATTATTTGTTTTCCCCTTTTTAATTGTCTGAGAACTTCAGCAGTTAAACTTCGAACTTCAATGCCTGTTTTCTGAACACATACTTTCAAAACGAGAGCAAAAAAGGGAAACTTTTTTAACATAATGTAGCATACGAAAAATTTATAATATATTTGAATCTCAACAAAAAAACTTGCCCTCAAAGATATCAAATCCAAAAGCTCCTTATGATACTGAGTTTTGAGCTCAAATTCTTTTTTGGTTGAACCAGTACATATAGCCATAGGTATACTGTGAGCCTTTAAATGCCGTATAAGCTTCAACACGCCAGGCATTAATGAACATTTCGGTAACATTTCTTCGGCCATTTCATCATACTTTCTACAGTATTCGTCAACGTCAACTTTCCCGGACAGTTTTTCCTAGAAACGATGTTTAATTACAAGATTTACTAAAAAAACTTTTAAGCAAACTTTTTATTAACTACTTCGTATCTTATCAAAAAACCAATTAGTAGAGCTAATTAAAATTGATCTTTCGAAGCTTTTTTCCCATTGTGATATGCAGGAATTCGCAAATTTCTGAAGAGATTTTTGAAGAACAATTAAGGTAACGCAGATAAAGCATCAAAACTACTCTAGTAATTTCAACAATGTTGTCTTAGTTATATTTAGATCTCTTTGGCAATTTAAGTGATTTTAATTTTTGCAACAGGCTAAATGAAGTTCATAACATAGAATTAAAATGGAATCATAATGAGGATGAAAGGGGATGAAGCAACATATTTTCAATATTATGGAATTGTCGCTAAAATGTTCTGAACAGAGAATAAAAAATAAACAAACGTGTTCAAGTATGTATGTTACAGCGGCTTTCTTAGGCATTCCCGTCACCAAACCTCTCAAATGCGAAGTGAATTCCTTATTATATTTCGACAATAAACACTGGTTTACCTTCGAGAATACTACTTCAGTATCGATCAATAAGCCATCCAAATCAAAAATCACATGTGTTATCTTTAATATTGACTTCATGACAGCCATCTGAAACAAAAAGTGGTGAAAATGAAAGTCATTGTGGAGCGCCACTTTATATTTCATCATAATTTCAATCTTTATCGAAAATAATATATCTTTCATATTTCCACATGTTGAGTACGTACCAGCAATCTACCACGCTCAATTTTGAAAGACTGCATAAAATGAGACATTTCTGTGCTTTTATTTATTCATTTTTATATTTCTACTCAGATATTCAAATTCTTAAGACTTCCAATCCCTGTCTGAAGTGTAGAACAAATCACTACGAACTAGTACTTATCAAACCTGAACATCATATGCTGTATAAACAACTGACAGATAAGTAATTTATGGATTCAGAATTATCGTCAAAAGTATTACTATGTCAGTGGCGTAAATCAATATGTGACATCTGCTTGCAATTGAGTTTTTTATTACATTTATCTAAGTAATTCATTTCTCAAAATCTGCTTTCAGTGAGGCTAAAAACATTCTATAATGTAAAAGATGGATCATTTAAAACTTACGTCACATGATTCGGTGTTCATCTTTATGAGAGATCGAAAAATAAAGACCAGTAATGCTTGCGCTGATAGGAAATCAGACACACTGCGCCGGAAATGTCTATAGCTGCACCAGAAAGTGTCAACTGATGAAGAATGCTGCAGCTCTCTTCTGAGATAATACTGGCTTACACTTTTATGCTAGGCTTAAAACATATGTAGTGAGAGAGGTACTAACAGACTATAACACCCTCTATCCATTCTCTCATTCCTCGTTTTTCTGTCTTAGTGCTTACTAATGCTTTTTTGCTTTTTCTATCTCATTGCTTACTAACGCAATTTCCCGACACAACTACAGGATTACAAACTCCATATTTATATAAGAAACAAACTGAAATGAAGTTACTTTGCTTTGAAATCAATTACTTTTCGAAGTAAAAAATGTTATCGTACTACAGTCGAACAGCAAAAACTCTTTTTGTCTTTTTCCTAACTTCATTTCTCACTGCTAACGTCGGAGAATATTTCCATTCAAACTAAACTGTTAATGCGAAAAAATATCGCAAGAACCTTTAGCTCCATAAGCTTTGACAATGAGCACGTTATATGATATACAGCTACATAGCTATACTGATAAGATTACGTATCTTAGGACTCCATAGGATTACAAACTTCACATTCATATAAGAAACAAATTATAGCGACTATTAGTCAACCTATCACTGTTCCCAATATTCCACTTGTGCTTAGAATGGTTACACCAGTGAATGCACAAATTTTCTTTTAATTACAGATGTCCACACATAGTGAGATAAAATTGAGGAAGTGCCTTATGCTTATTGAGAAATAGAAATTTTATTTCTAAAGTTTTCATAATTTAAACAATCGATGAATTTTAATGGTTTTTAGTAATTTAATACCTAACAAATATATGTAAGTAAAAACACATTCTCAAGCTTTAGAGCAAATAATGATTAAACAATTAACTTACACGGAATTGTTTCTTTAGCGATGCTCTGCACTCATCGTTACGAGCAAGAAAAGACTCTCCTACAATCTACAGCACTGTGCACTGAGGTATGGATAATAACACCTCGAATTATGATATCCTTTATCAGTACAGCTGAAGCATCATAAAATACCGCAAAAACGCTTAAATTTAATCAAATGGTGGTAAGCCAAACATTTCTGGTTTAAATTCCTCCAAACTATTCAATACCAAAGTTATTTTATCTCTACATTTTTCAGGACTTGAATAACGCAAATCTGGTACCATCACAACATGCATCCCAGCTGCTAACGCAGCATAAACACCATTTATCGAATCTTCAAACACTAAAACATGAGCGGCGCTTTCCGGCTTTACTGAAAATCGTCGCATTGTCTCCAAAAATCCATCTGGTTCCGGCTTTCCTTTTTTAACATGCGGATCATCGCCAGTTAGAACCTATACAAATACGTGAAGGTTTCGATACACTAGCATGGTACACTGTATATTTCCTGGGTAACATAAATTAAAATTTTTAGTATTTGCAAATGATTTTGAGATGAAGAAAAATTTTTAACACAATTACATGAAGTGGAATGAGATCAGACAATTCCTTTTGATTTTTCATTTTCGCATCGAATTCAAAAGTATTAGATCCACTGCATATTGCTGTTGGAATTTTATGTTTAGCAAAATGTTTCGCCAGTTGCATAGCACCGGGTAATAATCGACTTTCAGGGAGATGCTTACCTAGCAAGTCCAAATATTTCTCTCTGTACTCTTCCAAATTTACTGTGCCAGTCAAGTGTTCCTGAAAACTGTACTTTGAAACTCAAGCAGTAAAATTGGGTGAATTTTTCTTATTACTTTTGAAAAATTTTCTAAATGACAAGAAAACTGCAAAAGATAATGTAGTTTGAAGAAAGAATGCATTATGAATTTCAAATTGCTTAGATCTGATTCTGGATCGTGAGAGTTTAGAATAACAATAAGAACAGAAAGTAAAGACATACATGCTCAAGCATCATTTGAATTGCATCATCCATCTTCATACCAGTTGTCTTTGTCTTTAATTCCATCGTGTACTCCCTACCATAACTTTTCATTAGTTCTGTATTGACTTGGGTATAAATTGTTTCTGAATCAAGCAATAGTCCATCCAAGTCAAATATTATATGGGTGATTTCTGGACTTAAAATACTCATTTTCCCTGAAAATCTAATTTAAAAACATTTATTTGTATTATACGAGGACCCACCACAATATAAACGATAATCCGGAACTTAATACGCGGAAATCGAATTTTCTTTATAATGTAACACTTTAAAAGATAAATATGAAGAAATGATTTAAGTATATTAATAGCATGCTCCATCATCATACTATGTGCTATACTACATAGAATTTATTTAAATGTTATTCAGAAATAAAATTCTACAGAAACTGACAACAATACTTGGTTAAGCTCGCAGCAAATATCTAATCAAATGATCAACCCCCTCAATCACGTAGTCTGTAATAAAGCTGTACCATCAGAAACAGCATAATATACAATACTCAAATACAGTAATTATAACTGCAGAAACATTATGTTTTAGCAACAAGCAACTGAAATAAATAATAAATATAGAACGGGTTATTTATCTCTACTGATAATGGAAATCATTACGACCTTGAAATTTATAAATTTTTATAAAAAATCTGTAAAAATCATTTAAAAAATTTATAAAAACTATTAAAAAACAATTTATAAAAACTGTTAAGTTAGATACACACCTTCAGTCCAATGAAAACCAATCAATCAGTTTTTGACGAATTATGATTTCTACATTGAACATGGAATTAGGTCAGCAAATGCAATAGGTTTATCATATAGAAATAAATGTTAAATCAGTAATATACACCACAGCAATTCACTGTCTCCAATGAATTCGCCAATACATAACTATAATTTCTGTTGTACTTTTCAACAAAACTCGATCCATAAGGCCAACTCGCATAGACTAATCAACAGATTCTAAAGAAAATAGTGCTAAATCATCACAATTAAAATCGAGAAATTTCCACATGTCAGATTATAACTAGATGTGACCAATAAAAAAAGAAGTTGAATTTTACTAAAATTACTAGAAAAAAAAAAATACTAAAAGTGTGCAGCAGTCGACAATCAGTTAATAGTTTTGTGCTTTCACATTTTTATCAAGTCTCACTTCTTATCTATCACAAACTGTCCACTATAATTTCGAAGAAGTTTGACATTAACAACTATAAATCACTCCGAAACAATCCATCTACATCTAATGTCATATTCGTTCCATCACTAAGTAATGCTTACCTTCAATAAATCGATATCATATGAATAGAGTTGTAGGGAATTTAACCATCTATTAACCATGTGCTAAATGACATCAATTAGCGCATTTTCCTCTTTTGCATTTCACAACGGAAGCGCAAATTGACAAAATCATCCAAACAAAAATCACACACAAACACATACACACATACATACAGACACATACACATACACATACACACACACATACATACAGACACATATATGTAAAGAATTATTTCGCAGTCTTTTATTTCCACAGCCATCAATACTATTTTCGTCACTCTCGCTCATCCCTTCCGCCTCCATCTGGCATACATTCTTTATTCGTTTTACTGAGTTTTTTTTTTTTGTTTTATTGGCTTAATCATATGAGACGCCAGGAAGTAACAATTTGATATTTGATAACCTATTATTACTTTCCTCACAATTCTGTAAAACTTATTGTACTACTGCTACAGTTGATAAAGGAATTATTATACTCTTGTGCTACTCCATATATTAATATCTACATCTAACGAATCTCTCTGAGATCAGCAAACCTCTCCCAAAACAAATTTTTCAAATCTTTCAAAAAAAAAAAACATTTTGGATTTGTCGTTGACATGCATGCATTACATTCAAATTGTATGTTCATAATATATTTTCCCTTTATCTTTCTGCTTATCACTGATTAATAATTTGTCCACACTTATCGCTTATCGCTATTCAGCTAAAAGTGAAAAGAATTATTTTGATAGAAACTATTATATGTTTGTGTTGTTTTGTCCCCAACGGCTGATTGTCCGATTATCTAGCATGTAAGGTTGATTGTTTCTGTTGATAATAGCCACACAGTTTGAGTGGCAGTCAGCGGCTTTATTATTTTTTGGAAATCGGTCATTCGAATCCGATTGACCAGTCTTAATTTCGAGCACTTAAATTTAAAATTGCAGTCTTTTATGCATGCCATTCAACATTCTGATAAAAATTGATTTTCACTATGCTAAACTGATCACATCTCTTAAGCAAGTTAATTTCACCAATTATTGAAAGGATGAACTACCCAGCAACGATAAATACTTTTATTAATGAAGAAGAATATCTTTTTTCATTCTCTTTGCAGCAACAAAAAAGGGAAATGCGTCAAAGAAGGTTAGTCATATTCAAAAGAAAGAAGTGAAAATAGAAAAAAAATTAGAAGTGAGGGAGGAAAAGAGAACGAAAATATGAAAAAAAAATAAAAAGCTAAAAAAATTAAAAATTAAAAGGAGAAAAATCAAAAAAAAATTTTTTTAACTGAGAAAATTTTCCTGTTGTTTGGAATATTTTGTTGTGTAGAAACAATTGAATTCAAAGTGTAGGAGAAAGAAGTAGAGCAATTTGGGAATTTTATAGTCATTCTATGTTTTTGTATGTCATTTGTTTACAGTGCCAGAGTCAAAATCAGGAAGTTTGTGGGAAGAGATTTTTTTCATAAATTCGAACATAACTTGCTTTGAATTGAATTACCGACTTCGGTTTTCCAGGTTTTGTTTCGCTTTATTTAAGAGTTCGCTTTGACATTTTTGTTAATTTACCTAGTTATTACTAATGGCTTTTACTCTTTTGTTTTTCAAAATTACTATAACTATTGTTTGTTGTTTAAAGTTTACGTTACTTTATTATTTTTATCTTTTTTTGTTAAAGTTGTTTTTATTGCTCCTTTAAATCTGTAAACCTGTAAAGAAAATGTTAAATTTTTTTGCTGTACATTTCTACTATAATATATTTAATATATTAATATATCCAATCTATAATATATTTAATAATATATTTTTTTAACTTCTAATAGATACTTATTTTATTAGGTTGCGTTTGCTAATGTTATGTCATGTTTAAGGATAATTCCTTTTTTGCATATTAGGTAGTTGGATAACTTCTAATTTCTGCTGTTCAAACTTATTTTTAATTACACTGAGTAATTTTTCCTTACATTTAACCGTACCTTTTAATTTAAATATGAAATATCAATCTTGTAATTATGCCAGTCTTGTAAATTATCCATGTTGGGGAAAATCGAAGGTAAGTATGGATGATAAGTTCTTTCTTTTTTTAAATTGCATTAGAATTTATATTTCTCATTCATTATCTGAAACTAATGTGGTCGTGGAAGATTTGACAATTTAATTTATTATTTTGGGAGAGGTTGTTAATCGCAGAGAGATTCTTTGATGTAGATGTAAATATGTGTGGTACAATGGAATATAATAATTCCTTTATGAACAGAAGCAAAAGAACAATAACTTTATAGAGAACAATTGAAATTGAACTCTCCTGATTCCTAGTAAAAAACACACTATGTCCTTTCAAGATGAGTGACCTCCTTATATAGCAAGCTGTATGCGTAAACAAAGTATATGATTTATAATATGATCGGTCTAACAAAAAGAAAATCTATTTCTAGTTGACGAGCCGCAAAGGATATCAGCTAAGCAAAAGTTGTTATAATTTATAATTAGTAGCGACACAGTAATGAGGTGAACTAAATGAGAAGCTAATACCGTGTAAACAATAAACAAAAGATTTTCAGGTTAAACATAAGATTGGAAACAAAGAGTCCAAAATATGAACATTATTTGCAAAGATTTTATAGAACATATTTCTTACTCATATTCACAACTCTCATGTTTTAGAGTTTCGCAACACTTCCGATGCAGAATTTAATTTGGTGATTTGTTATAAGTCATTCTTTGTTTTTTGTTGAACTTTGTTTTATAGCATTTCTAGTTCGTTGAGCTATGGGTTCCTTTCGTTCATCAGTTTCATTTATTGTAATCTTCGATATTTTTGATCGTACCTTTCAATTGATATTACATATTTATCTTCCTCATGGTAACTTGATTAGAGCACTTCTTATTATCCTCCCCTTATTAAAGTATACTGAAGGCGATCTTAGGCGACCAAAACACAATCCGAAATTGTCGTTTAATTTGATTCTGGATTCTTTCCATGGCCAAGCAACTTGGTATTTACCATTGTTTTTTGTGATATTTCCTTTGAACCTTTCTAAAACTTGTTCGTCGTCCTGTAGATTAAGTTATTCTTGAATGTGTTCCTATGAATTCCAGTGTCATAATCGATCAATTTCTGGAATGTTAATGGTGGTTCGATATATATAATATATTCTAATTGAACATGAGTGACCTCCTTGTATAGCAAGCAGTATGCATGAACGAAGTACACGATTTACAAAAAATTGACTTGCCGAAAGGGAAATTAATCTTGACTTGGTTTACAAGTAAATCTAATCACCAGTTGATAAACCATAAAGGAAGTCAGTTAAGCCAAAGTGGTAAATTCAAACATAATTTACAATTAATGACGAAATAACAGCTATGAGGTCAACTAAATAAGAAGCTAATACCGTGTAAACAATCTATTTGGAAGATGAAAACAAATAAGACAACTTTTAGTTTTATGGATGTAATACAATTTTATTTGATATATTTTATTTCCAGTTTCGCTACACATTGTGTCAGCCCAACAATCGCTACAATATGAAATAATCATAGCATCCCAATAATCGCTATCACTGAAAATTCGAGTGATGTTGTTAACTCTCTTCTTCCCTTCTCTTAATCAAATGTCTTATGAGTACACACATGTTCTTATCATTTATCACTTTCAGGTGATAAATGCAGAAAAAAAAAAACAGCGAATAGTATCAACAGCAAACAAATCGTTCCATCCTTAGTGACCTGTTGAATGATGGCCACCGTAATATGGATGATGGTGGAAATGTTGATGAGGGAAGTGTCCATGATGGTGATGGTGATGATACTGGTGCCATGGTTCATCCTAGTCATCGTCCCACCAGCCAGATGCTGTCACCGATACTGTCAATAGAGCTAGCAATAATATTGTGGCAAATCTTAGTGATACCATTTCCCCCTGAAAGAATCTTGAAATTGTTATTCGGCAGCTTTAATGAATAGTACTGTGTGAGGAACAGAAATAAAAATTTAAAAAAATATTTAGAAAATATTGCCGCGGTGGAAATGAATTGAGAACAACTTAAATACCCGAAATTAGGCCAAAAGCTAATATTACTTGTAAGACTGGAAATGGGAAAATTACAGTCCAACAAGAATCTATAAAAAAATTCTTTTCCCATTAACCTAATTCTAAGCCTGTTTCAGTATTTGATATATAAGCATCTCTTTTCTGAACTTCCTTATAGCAACCTGAACAGAAGACCTCTTCTAACAAGTACTCAGTAAGTTTCTCCATTAGTCATCCCTTTTTACTAAAGTTTATTTAATCGATAATTACCTAACTTATCTTCTTGCTCATTTTTTGTGGCGTAATTCGATGACTTAAATGCTAATTATCTGTATTGCAGTGATGGTATCACTGCGATTTGCCACAATATTATTGCTAGCTCTGTTGACAGTATCGGTGACAGCATCTGGCTGGTGGGACGATGACTGGGATGAACCCTGGCATCAGTATCATCACCATCACCATCATGGACACTTCCCGTGGCATCAGCAACATTTCCACCATCACCCACATCACGACGGTCATCATTCGTTTGGTCACGGAGGATGGAAATGGGATTGATATGATGTAAAATGCAACTGTATTGCTGTTTTCCAAACCGACTTTTGAATAAAAAATAATTTACTGTAATTTCTCTGTAATTTGAAATAAAAGAAATTTTTATTTTATACTGTAATGATATTAGCTGCATGAAATAGTTTCAAAAATATATGGAGCAATTTTGAGATTCCTAGAAGTTAGCAGCTGGTCGATAAAAATTTTGTAGTTCTAGAAAACTAATTACTATTGATCGAGTTAATTTCAAAAATTTTCATACTAACATACAGTAATTTTTTATAGTATTTATCAATTCTTAAAGGAAAACTATGGTTTAGAACAATATTTGCGTAATATCTCTATTTCATCTTATTCATGTAAATAAGAGATTAATATAAACGACAAATGAAAAAGAATTGCAGTATTATATAAAAAACAATTTGATAATATCGTATTTGTGGCAAATTTTAATTGTGAGATGAATATTAAAATTGAGATAAATCAAAAAGAAGTATAAACATTTTAGTATTAAAATGACCAAGAAGATCCATCATGTTGATCAAATTGAACATGACGAGATTCCGTGGCTGATACAGTGCCATCCGAAGAATCATACTTAACGGATGGTCTAATTCCATCGTTAGTAGAATTTAGACTAACAGAAACGATTTCAGTTTTTATTTCTCCATCATTATTTTTTCCTTTTAGCGATTCGCTACGACAAGCATCGTTTTGTTCCTTCTTTACCCTTTTTTCGTTTGACAAAAATTTTGCGAATGTTGTTGCAGATGTGATGTAATCAATGTTATCGATAGTTTTATGCCTTTTTAAACTTTCCGAAGCTATAAATTCATCCTTGCTATTCATTCTAGTAATGTATCTGAAAATTGGTCAAAACTGGAGTACAATATTAATCTTCAATTTCAGTTAAATTTTGGATACATTTTAAAGCAGATATATTTTTTATAATCCAAGTATCATACTTGAATAGGATAAAAATTATAGTTTTCAAAATAGTAATTATCTGTCAAAATGATCAAATACGTATAACAATAACAGTAGTGGTGTTAACTAGTTTCAAACCAAAAAAAAAAGAAAAAGGATAGGATTAAGAATTAAAATTTGAACCTGATAAGGATCAAAAGGATAATAGCAGATAAGGCAATAAGGATAATCATCAACCAAAGTAAATTTGTATTTGAGAGTTCCTTAACGGTTTGATGCGAAAAGGCTGAATCGGTAACATTCATTGATGGAACAACGGTAAATCTAACTTCTTCCTCAGTGGTTAGCGCAGCCAAGAAAGATTCCGTATTATGAGGATTCCGGTGATAAATCAATAAATCTTTGTAATCGGTTCCTGGACATCGAGGTGGCTATAAATATGTTTATTTTGAGAATTTTTTTGGTAGAAAGAAAAACGAATGAAAACCTAGAAAATAAGATTTAAAAATTTTTTTCATTTATAAGTGTTTTCAGTTATACTTAAAATTCAACAAAGTGTTAAACATTTGGCAATGAATATCAGTATGCTATATGAGTTTTTATAAAATATTTTTTGTAGTTTACATTCGAGAATTCTCTGATTATGTTTCCAATGAAATTTTCTAGTTTTTCTTTGAAAAAAAGTTCAAAGTTTTGCAATCAAATATAAATCAAATAATGAAGAAAATTTCAGAGAATTTATAAGTGCTTTTACAAATTTACATCAATACTATAGCAAAACAATAATGAGCTTGCTAAATTATTTCTAATTACAAATGCCGAAAAATTTTTAGGAAAAAAAAAAAAAAGTGACAAAATTTATTACTGTAATTCCTTCACAACCATCCGCTTTTTTAATGCACAAACTAATCTTGCAATGAAATGATAAATGTTCCGAATTGGTAAGTTTAAAAACTTTGACATATGCAAAAGCCATAAGTTTATCATCGGAGTAAATCACATCGTTAACAATATTCGCATCCGCAATACAGCTGCAAATATTTTTTTATTTTAATTCATTTTCGAAATATTTTGAAAAAAAGAGGAAAAGAAAAAGACGAGCACTTCTGCATGGTAACTACAAATTATTTATTGAATATAGGAGAGTTTATTTAAGCCTCATTAGTGATCAGTGCTATGTTGTTCGATTTTTAAAATCTTTTCAAGTTTGATTGCTAAAATGAAGTTTTTTTCTTTTCCAATCAAATGATAATTTTGAGGAAAAAAAGTTTCTACCCTTTACTATCGATTATAATATGTTGTTGTTGTTGTTGTTTGCTTTCTGATTTAGCATAACAATCATGAATGTGTAATCCGTATAAATCTAATGCTTCTGCAATGTTTCGATTTTAAAGCGATTACATTTTTTTAGTTAATCTAAAAAGAATGGAATTAAACCAAATTTTAAAGAATCAGGAAATTTTAATTATTTCCACTCAAAATTTTATTAAAAAAATTGAATTAAAAAGTTCACATCAAATGTAAAGCAAACGCACTTGTAAAAGTTAAATATGTCATTAAAGTATTTAAAAGTTTGCGACAAAAATAATTTCAGTATATAATTCACACAGTAGAGGAAACTATATTTTACAATTAATGCTGAAATATTTTTTTAATTAAAGAATTAAACAAAAAAAAAAAAAGGAATCATACGGTGATTATTTTCACATTCCCATTTATGATAGATAGTATCGCCAAGTTTAGCATATTGGATTATCGGTCCATTTGGTGTATCTGCTCGAATTGTATAATTACATAATGGTGGTATTGAATTCAGTGGTAATATTTTTGCTATTTTAATATCCCTAAAATTAACAAAGAAAAAAAAATTGGCACTCAAAAGATAGATTATTCTCAAACTTTAAAATTACAAAATTATTTCGAAAAATTGGAAAAAAAGTTTTGACAAACTTTATTTTTATAATAGCACCATATTTTATAGTCGTCTTTTTTTACACTTTGCTTTTCTCTTACTACAAAAATTTTATGAATAAAATTCCAATATCAGTCACAGCAAAAGAACTATAATTTCAAAATTAGGATTTAAAAAAAAAAAAAAAAAAAACAAAATGAATTTTTCGGAGAAATTTAATCCTTCAAAAAACAAATATACTTAAGTTTCTAACTGAAATATTTTAACTAAATTTTTATAAATTGAACTAATATATTAAAGGTAAATTATTCTAACCCTTGTGGGCGCTGATTAATGCGCAAATTTGTTAATTCGTGTAACTGCGTGTAGGTTGATAACACTGAAGAACAAATCCCTTATCTGCATCACTTACTAACCATTTGTCGTGAATTATATTGATCAGTGCGGAATAATTCAGTCCTGCTGGATTTACCTGCGAATTTAAATTGATTCAAATTCTTCTATGGAATACTACTAATTCTATAAAGTTCAATAAAATAGCGAGCAAAAAGGTGTTATCACTTTATCATTAAATTTATGTTATCACTTTATCATTATTATTAATCATTGTCAAGAATGGACAATGAAAATGACATCAGCAATAAGTTACAATAACTATCGCTGCTTTCTTATAGCTATGACATCTGAATGGTGTCAACTGTGATAACTACTTGATCAGACTAATCTCTCTCTCTCTCTCTCTTCCCTCTTCTCTCTCATTCCCTCTCTCACTGATAACATGAAATATAAATTATCAAATGACAAATCTGACTTTTCACCATCGTTCTATTAATTTAATAAATAAAAATTCTTACCGATATTATTTCTTCAATATTACATTGCTTAAAACTAATGAAGAAATGAACTTCGCGAGTGTCAATACGTTCACCGAATTGTTCAGCTTGAATAATTTTTGAACAATTTTTCGTCATATTTTTACCTTAAATAAACCAAATTTATTTCAGTAATTAGTGTAAAAATAAAATTAATCAGCCAGCAAAAAAATTTTTGATAATTGAAAATAAAAAGAAAAAAAAACTTTCATTGCTATCCACTTAAGATAACAAATCAAAGCTTTTACATTGAACAAATGGGTTAAATTAGTAAAATAAAACCAAAACTATTTGAAGAATATTAATCAACAATAAGTTTTTCCTCTCTAATTGATGAAAATTAAAATGAAATACCCCGAACAACGATAGTTCCACCAAATGATTTGAGTAATTTAAATGTTACATTGAATCCATCATTTAAACATTGAACAGTAAATTCCTGAACTGATTGATCCATTTCCATTGCTATTCTATTCTCGAAAAATGCTAATTTTTCTTAAAATTTTCAAACATATTATATGGTTTAAATTAGACATAATTTAGAAAAACAATACCACTATTTGCTACCGTAAACAGTTTTAATCCATTTTTAACCGAATTACCTATCTACCTTACCTATAATGAAATTTTCAAAAAGAATCCATTTAGTGCGATCAAATTATTAAAATTTTTTACTGCAATAATTTTATTACATTCGTGAATTTCAACTTTTTTTTATTTTAAAAATTTTGCATGCCAAAATTTAATTAACCTTTTGTAGTGGTTCGAATACGCTTTGCTAAATGATCAGCTAGTTGACCACTGTCCACTGTAGTTACATTGAAGATAAGATTATGATGCTCGTCTCTGATAAGTTGTTTAATCAATTGAGGATTTGTATCTTTGATGGATACTACTATTACAGTTATATTGTTTGGATCAAGTAACTAAAATTAATTACTATTTTTAAATTAAATTGCATTTGGACATCTTTGTTGGCCATTGTCCATTTTATGTTAAGCCATTCATAATTTGCTTTGATGACAGTATAAGACAAGCAATTTAACTGGCCTTTTTGCATGAGATAAGCGAACGATGAAGAAATCGTTTAGATTTTGAGTTAATTATAAAATAAGCTTACTTGTAACGCTTCATGGAACTGACCACTGGACATACCGCTACTGACCATTACAAGTACATTCGGCACTTCATCCCTATCACCCTAAAGATATTGCAGTGATATAAAAGAGTTTTTATATCAAGTGAAAAGATTTGCAAATTTTATTCTAATACTTTGATAGTTTAAATTTTATAAATTAATTTGATTGTTTTAAAAAAAAAAAAAACTGAAAATCTTTATTAAACTTACTCTTCGTTTGCTAAAACCATATTTGACAATTTTATGAATGACATTATCAACACTATTCAAATCACTGATGTATTCAGTATCACCAATATCAGCAAGAAGACAAGGTTTACAATTATGCTTACGGAATGAAAATTCCAGCACTGGTTCACGTGTAAACTGTACCAATGAAATCTGCTCAATAAAAATGAATTTAAACTTTAAAATTTTATTAAAAATGACATTTTTAAAATGAAGTAAAACTTTGTTACCAATATTTTTATTTTAATCATTATTTTTAAATTATGGAAATTTAATGAATTTCAATAAATCTAATTTAACCTGCACTCCATCAGGACCAATATTTTTAAATTGTTCTACGGTGTCCATGATAAATTTCACCGCTTGTTGAAAGTATATTTTAGTAATATTATGAGAAGTATCTAATAAGAATAATATATCGGATCGTATTTGATCAGATTTATCATTTACTATCGGACATTCACCTACAATAAAAATTATTTAGCACTTCGAAGTTAATATTTCTAAAATCTTTTCGTATGACATCGTATGACTACCGTATTAATTTTAATTTTACTTTTAAATTTCTACCGAATTCTTTCCATACTCCAAAAATTAGCACAAAATTTTACATTTGAAATATCACATCATGTTCCCATTAGTAAGAAATTCATACTAAAATATATCTTTCTAATCATATGTGACATCGCTTTTTTCTTGCTTCAAGAATTAAAAAAAAAAAAATAATTTCCTCAATAAAAATAAGTTACCTTCATTGGTAGCAATGTTATCACAATAGATCGGTTCATTGACTTTTATTTTGTTTGTATTTGATTGCTACAAAATTTTAATCATTTATCATTGATTATCAATAACTAGTTATATTTACATTCCGATTCTTGATAAATTTTGAACGGAAAGTAATAGAATCATTAGAAGTGAAATCATTTTATCTGAATAGAAATCCTAAAACTGTAAACAGATCTATTGTCCTACTACGAAGTATCTCAATATCTCAACTATACTTCATTCTCAATAGTTTTATTTATGAAATTATGAAAACACTTTATCAGTAATTGCTTGAAGTCTGGTTAGATTTAATGATAATTGTGGTTGAATAAATTATGTCTTAATAGTTCTAGCAAATGAATGCTAACCGATGTTATTAATTCAGATTTCAGAATTTCACTTTTCCCTCGTTTTGTTCCAAATTCAGCAGACGGTGATGCATGCTCACTCGAAATTAAAGTTCTTACTGAATCAATCGGTTCTATGTAATCCGGTTGAGAAGCCATAAAATCTTGTTCTGGAATTAAAAATATTTCCGGCGAGGAAATGTTTTGCCCTTGAGTAACAAGATCAGGTAAAATTATTCCATCTCTTGAATTAAATCCGGAACGAAAAGGCTTTTTGAATTGTGTTTGCTCTGCTATTTCAGCTGATTCCATCGTAAGTTCCTGAGATGAGATACGTTTTGTATTAATACTATCCTGTTTTTGTAATAAATCAATCATTGATTGTCTTCCCATAATCATAGTTTCATCTTCAGCGGAATCTGAAGGATAAGTTTCTTGCATCTCACTGATCTGTTCGCCAACTGCAATATGCGGAATTGTGAGAACTGATGAAGCTTCTCTGTGTGACTTTTGCTCATCCAGAATCTCTCGATCACCTACCGCAATGAAAGCAACCGGATGTGCTGGACCAAAATATAATGACCGATTTTCAGAATTAATTTTCGATTCAGTAATGTTTTCAATCAAAGTTATACCTGACGATCTACTGGTTTCATCGAATACCGGTAATAGTTTAATTCCAACGTGAGCTGGATCAAATTTTTTTTTGTTAGTAAAAATTAATAGTTCCGGTGTTGCATTTGGCAAAGAAACTGTGGAAGTTAAAAGTGGTTCAAAAGGTAAAATATTCTTAGAAACGGCATTATGACCAGTGCTTGAAAAAATCGTTTTTTTGAAATCTGTTTCATTCTCTGAAATCCTGTCGGTGTTAGGAAGAAAGTGTACGGTTTGTGTGCTTGACGTTCCGGAATGTTTATCTTCATAAAATGTTTTGGGATTAAAATTAATTGTTGCATCAGAACTTTGTTGATCTGATGTTTGCTTTAATAGCATTTCATTATCAGTAATAGAAATTGTTGTAGTAGTGGAAATTTGTTCAGGAGAAATGAAAACAGCTTCGAAATCTGAAATTAGTGTAGTTGTTTGCATAGATGGAGTTTTTGTGAAAAATGATGAATAATCTACGATATGGCTTGATTCTAAGTTTCCAAATCTATAGGTAGCTGAATTCGAATTAATGTTATTGATATGATTCGATGTTGAAAATCCGTTTTCCGATACATTCAAAGTAGTTTGACTCATTTTATCAAAATTAGCTTTCAGCCAATTTCTGTCTATTGCTGCTATATTATCAGAATTTGATTTAAATCTCTTCAATGGTTCGATTTCTTCAATTGATAATCCTTCAAATTTTTTGGATTGCATCCCATCTTTGCTATTTCTATTAGTTTGATCAATCGGTTGAATAAATGTTGCAATGTTTCCCTGAAAAATATTAGTTAAAGATTTTTTAAATCTTATTTTAAAAAGAAATGTGGATACATTTGAAATTTTTTTAATTTAAAACAAAATTGATAGATTAAATGTTCATAAAGCATTTTTCTTTTCACTAGAAACTTACTTTTTTAAACCACTAAACCACTGCTCAAGCGATTTTTCTTGTAAATGTAATGGAATTCCCTTTATAACGTATACTTGTAAATTAGCAGTATAATTTTTTGAATTTTCTATTACCAACACAAGAAAAATCATTACGTAAAAGTGAATTAAAGTTTTAAGAGGATTTTCCGTCATTTCCGCTTTTATATTTAATTCATTATTAATGAGACTTCTATAACTCTTCAATCCATTGTGGATTTTTTAATGAAATCTTGAAAAATTAAGAAATTCATTACTCACTTCATCATTGATCCTTGGCAACACATGGCGGCTATTGCTTACTTCGTCTACGGTACCTTTTTCAAGATCAATTTCAAGTGATATGGGATTTTCTTGACTGCCTAACAATGCAATCATATTTACTTCATGATAAAAAAAAAAAACTAAAAATGGAAGAGTTAAAAATATGAAAATAAAAGCGCAAATGCAACAGTGGAAGTGATGAGAAATTGTTTACCTATTTCTTTATTACGAAGTTCATTTGTTCGTATTTTGGGGTTTGTGGGAGTTTTATTTGGAGTAACCAGAAATATTTGAATGTGTACATTATTGATTGATTTATCATCCAAAACATCAGCGATTTTTTGTTGACTTTGTTCATTTTCGTTAAATCTTGTTGTTCTCTGATTATCGGTGTGGTGTTGAGAGTCATAGTCAAATGATGGGTTATGATCAGGAGTTGCTGAAGTATTTCTATAGATCAGTACTACCTGAAAGTAATTTGGAACATCAAGGAAGATAAACCTGAGATTTCAGAATTTTTAGAAACTGAATTTCATTCCATAAAATTCATGCTCACAAACTTCAACCAATTGCATTGAATTAAATTGCTTTAGATTATATTAATTTTCTTTGAATTAAATTAATTTAGATCACTAATGGTTCATAATATTAATTATGATGTCAATTTATAAACATTCCCTATGGAAATATTTGAAGCAAAATTAAATTAGTGTTAATTTTCATTAATGGATCAATCAAAAATCACCGCCAAAGAGCAAAAGCTACAGAAGTGCGAATTCAACAAAGACCTTTTCTCCGCCCAATACGTACACATTTTTAAGAAATGCAAAGATTTCTAAGAAACAAAGATGAAATGATTTTGCCAATGAAATCATTCACAAATAAATTGTGACCTCTTGCAAGATTCCATTTCATTTTCTCACCCAAATAATGATGAATTATTATTAGTGATAATTTTAAGATTGGAAGAATTTAGATTTTTCAAAGTTATTTAAATTTCAAATTATTATTATTTTCATTTGAAACGTCAGACGTTTATTTATTAGCCCACATCTCACACTTCTCATTCAGTTTCTTTCTCTCTAAATTCTCTAAAATAAAGAAATGGAAAACGATGAAAGTTATTAATAATTGACTAATTAAGGAGATTTAAGTCTAAAAAAATTTCGCATTTGGAAAGTTTCTCATTACATTTAGATTGAAAATTTAAAAAAAATTTAAAAGAAACTCACATTTATAATTATTACGAAATGTATTGCAAATGTTCGTATAATTTGCCGCATTTCAAAATAAGAAAGCACTTTATAAACTGCAAAATTTGCTCAAATGACTATTTCCAATATGTAATATAAACACGTACCTTTGATACGAAACAAAATAAATTTAAAATAGAAATGAAATTGAATAGTTGAATTGCTATCACTAAAATTTGAACAAATAAATTATAACAGCTTTATAAAGCAAATTGATAAAGAAATTTTTGATAAGAAATTCACAATGAAAAATTTCTACAAAGTATAACAAATGACCATTGTTGATGATTATCAAATTTTTTTTTATCTTTTTCTGTACTTTATATAGGAATAGATATAATTGATCAAAAAATATTTCAATTACAGGGATTTCACAAAGAAAGTTAACACGAAATGTTTTCGAGAATTATCATTATCATGCAAACTAAACATACAATAGACACTTCGGCGACTAGTAAACTTTTTTTTTTTTAATCATGTGAGATTCCGTGATAATAATTATTATCACTGATATCAGAAGATTTTCGCACACAAAACAACAAAATAGGGCTTAAGATTGATTAAAAAGGATAATTATTAGACTAAATCAAATGATAATATAGAAGAGTAAAGATGAAATAATCAGCATCGTCTATCGTCTGATAAGCGATCACTATTATTGTCGCAGTGATCGAAATATCAATGATCATTCTGCTTCTGTTTCAAATTTTATTGAATGTATTCATTTCACTAAGTAAAATTCTTATTATTGGGAGTGAAAAGATTTCCAGTGCTTTTCATAATGATCGTAGCACTTTAAAAGGAAATAAATTATTAAGAAATGAAAATAAAATAAGTTATAACCATGATTAAATGCAATAATTGGTATTTCATTAATTAATTACCTTACGCAAATATCCGCTATTTACTAAAGTTAGTAAGTAATAATTGCTATCTATCAGGAAATTAATTATTAAAAGATAAAAAAAAATTTTAATGAAGATAGAAGTGAAAGAAGCAATAATAAAATAATGTAAAAGAAACATTTGTCTTGTCAATTTCATAGTTTGATGGCAGAATTCTCGATATATTTCGGGATTCATGCAAACAATGTCTTTGATCTGAACAAATAATGCACAATGAAACTAAATAAAATGTTTTCTAGAAAGTTTTCTAATATTTCCATCTCAATATCAGAGATTCTGAGAAATTTGAGAAAGCAAAATTCTTATTCAAATCTCTAAATTTCATTAAATGATTACAAATTTACATGGTCCATATAATTTGAAAATGATGCTAATTTTAGATGGCTTCCAAATATTAGAATAATCCAACAAAAAAAAAATAATTCTTTTTTTTGAATTTATCAAAAAATTAGAAGTTCTTTCTGCATATTCCAAATTTTCTATCTTTCAGATATGTGATTGTTTTCCTCAACATTCTATAACTCTCAATTTTAACGATAAACAAAAAAGTAGTCATTACTGATTTAAGATTTTCAGATTTATCATTTATCTTTCGTATATTATTCGAATTACTCATTGAAATTATAATTTGATTTAATATTAATTATAAGTGCATTTATCAGTCAGTTATTGACTATTTTTAGCTTAAACTTGTACTCAGAGAAATGGAAACGAAACAGAGTTTACAAATTTTAATTTTGTGCTTTTAAAATGCATTGATAGCTTCTTCAAGGAAGTGCAGAATACAAAAGTGATTATAGTTTTAAGTTATAATTTCAGACTGTTATGAATAAATCGACCATATCCTTTAATTAAACTTTAATTAAAGTAATAACTATTATAGTGAGTTCTCGTAGTTAAGAATTGTGACATTTTGTTGACTGAACAAAATTCATTTTCGATGTACATTGGTTTTCTGAGGTAAAATAGTTACATTTATATTTGGAAAAATCATTGCCAAAGATAATCACCAATCAATGATTATGACTATTTTTTTTTTCTATTTTGAGATTTCTTCTATCTGACCATTGAGACGGCATTTAAAAGTCATTTTATAATTCAATCGAGAAATAATTTCCATTCTTTAGAGGACATCTCAAAACGACAATTTTTTCCCATCACTACTCAGCTAATAAAGCTTATGTTGATTAAGTTTTATTAACTCTTTCATTTGTTTCAAACATTAAACTATCGCAGATTGAAGACGTTCAATTCCTTTCTTCTAATCTGTATTTTATCGTTAACTTTAACACTTTCATCTTTTTTTCAAAACTTTTAAAGTTGTGTCATACGTTTGCAATTATTTTATAGCCTAATGCTTTGTTAGTATTATAAGTTATTTGTTAGTATTCTTACAAATTTTCATTAAAAATTCAATAAAGAAAAAGCAAAAATTATTTTATTTCATTGCTGAATTATTAAAAATTAAAAAACTTCTCAAACTTCTTATTATTGAACTTTTTTTTGCTTATGGCAATTATTTAAAGTAAATAATAATTGAATAGAAGTCTTAAACTGAAAAAATTATAAGACATACATTTTCTTGCTCGACTCTACTATTTTAATACATTTCATCATTATTCAAATGTATTAAACTAAATATAAATTGGCTCACAATGCTTCGAGATGCATAAATCACAATTGCGCCTTGACTGATCATTCGGTAATATTTCACTCATTAATAGCCTACTAATAGTTACATTTCATTATTAATAGAATTATTGAACAAAAAAAAAAATTTTTTTCTTTTAATATCAGTAAAGTTTATAAAGTTTAGAGAAAAATTTGGAACCAGTCGGTAAATGGTTAAAGCGACTCGTAAATTGTCAAAATCATTTCCCACTGACCTTTCACTTCTTCCCACATCCTTCAAATTCTCATATATCACCGCCCTTCTCAATTCCTTTCCGTCAACATTTCCTTTTTATCATTGTTACTTTTCTTTCAGTGTTATCCAATTTCTCTTCATTCCGGTCATATCTGCGGTCAAAAGAAACCAGTCATTTCAGTGTTGCAAATCTTCAAGGGATACGTTTATTTTTGCAGAATTTAAGTCAAAACAATTAAATTTCTGCATTAATTAAATTAAGAAAGTGTTCAATAAATTTTGTATCTTTCATTAATTTAAGTAAACACACAAGAACTACTGATCCGGAAAATTCAGTTGATTTTAAGCACGGAAGAGAGAGAAATAGTTCTCTAAAACAAATGACATTTACAATGACAAGAGAGAACTACATACCGGATATTCGATCTTTAGTGTTCGATTTCCAGTCCTTTTCCAGTACTTATGCGCTCGCTCGATCAAAAATGATTTGTACTAACCTATGTGAAGCAACAAAATACCATAAAAAAGAAAAAATCATAAAGGTTATAGGAAAAATTTTTACTTATAAAGCAGAATTCAAAGTAAAGCTAACAATTTCTCACTTATTTTTGTTCATTCTTCTAATATTTCAGAATCATAACACACAGTACTTACCACTGATGAAGACTTGAAAGAAAATCTAACAAGAATTTTATGAAGTCTTAAAGAACAAGATATAAATCAGCTCTAAAGTTGAATAAATGCGCAATAGTCCCATTCATGGATTATCACTAAAATCTTAGTTCTTTTTTCAGCAGTTATAATTTGAATGATCAAATTATCTCTTTCATTCCATCTAAGAGTAATTCATATAGAAAATTTTGTTGTTAATATTTTTATTAAAATTACTTGCTATCACTTCCATTTCATAATGATATATAATGACGAATAATTTAAAACAGAGCGTTGTTTGATTAAAAAGAATTCTCAGTGAACCGGTTGCACAATTAAAATGGTATAATTGTTGATGTATCTTAAAAATTCTTTCGAACAACATTGATCGCATGATTTAAGATTTTGTAATATAATCGGACAAAATCAAATATTTTCTCCTATGTTTGATATATTAATTGCTAAGTTTATTTATATGAATATTTATGTACATTCATTTATTTCATGCATATAACCAATTTTAGAGTTAAGTTCAAAAAGTGAGAAAATACTTGCTAGAGGCTTGCAAGTAATATCGTTTAGAAACCATAAGTATACCTTTGAATTTAACTTTTATGACTCTCAGCATAATTCTTCTTATATTTTTTTCCTGGCTGATAACAATAATTCCTTCAGCTAGAACTGATCAAAATCATAAGAATGCTAATTACACTAATGAAATTATTAGACCAGTCAAGAATACACATTTTTTGTTAGCACAATACATCAAAATATGATTTGAGATTCAACTTCATGAATCTATTTTGGAATCATTTCATTATGCAATCACACAGACATCTGGAAAAATGTCCCATTAACTAGTTGGACATTTCCTGCCTTGAAAACAATTAAAATCAAAATTTCCAAGTCAATTAAATGATCTACATTACTTCTTCTTAATTAGTATTACTTCTTTATAATTAATTACTATGTCAATGAAGAAATGTGCAATTGATTTCGCATATCTTTTTTAAAAAAAAAAAAAATGAGATTCACATAAAGAAAATATCTCAGTATTTCCAATATTTGTTAATTTTATCCAAATTTTGAACAATAACTTAAAAAATATATCACTGATACCACCTGTCTGCAATTTAAAGTTCGGAATAATGAAATTACATGAAACGGTAGCAATGATTATTTTAATGACTTTGCTGCCACTTATCTTCCTTGTACCAGCGATTATCTTTGAATTTTTGGAACGAAAGCAACAAAAGATGTTTCAATTTTTACTTGAATTTAGACCAAAAAAATTTATCATTCCAGTGGTTAGTTGTTTCTTACCTTCGTCATTTCAATTCATACTTTCAAGGATAATTGAAATAGCAAGCTTATTCAAAAATCAGGAAATAGCATCATTTAAATCAAGCATCACGACTATATTATGCTTAAAAAATCTTTGAATTATTTGTATAGTTTTAATGCAAAGCTTTCTTATTTTTAATTTCACAGCCACATGAAAAAAAGATTAGACAGATATTTTGAGATCTAAGTGATTGTCACCATTATATCTATATAAAATCATTTAACTTCACTATTGATCTTATCAGTAAAAGTAATATATTTTGCCTGACTTTATAAGAAGTATTATCTAATCTTATAGGATCAAAGACTGGGTAACTGTTACGGTCAATATCATTTCACAGATTCAAATTGAAAAATGATAATGAACGATGATAGAATGATTGCAGAATAGTATATCCGAAGAACAGTTCCAATGCCAAAAACAATTTAACTGCAATGCTAATCGTAGCAGAGAAGAAATCAGAGCCATTTTTTCTGCTCGAAATTGTCCATCATCTAGAGAATTGCGTAAGCACATTACGTTGCGTGGATGCGTGGATTTTCACGTTTATATCAATTTCCCGCTATTCTGTTAGCGTTTTACATGCTGCATGCATGGATGATTGCATCCTGCAGCTGCAAATGAATTTAAATTGAAACAGTTTTAGTGTCATTATTGTGTACATCTCCTACACAGCAATCAAGCTCATGCACTACACAAAAAGATAACACAGAAGGGATAAGGAAATATCAAAGAAATGTCAACACTGATATAGAATCTTCATCAACAATACAATCAAGTAATATGAATTCGAGAACTAGCATTCCAAAGAAATTAACTATTACAAATGACAAGTTTATAACGTCACGCAGCAGAAGAGGGACGAATATGCATGTGAAAAGGCCATCTTCCGTATCAGCGACAACAAGATCTTTCACAAGATCATTATCGGAAAAAAGTTAAAAGAATTAATTTATATATTTAATGAAGTCACCACTGTAATTACTACTCTAGCATTTTCATTTTTGAATAAAACTTAGAAATTCACTCAGTATTCATCATAATTCCATTGTTTATCTCTTCAAGTGACTCCATTTGATATAATTTCTAAAATTTTTGCTCCATTATATGATAAGTTTCATAAACTTTTTATAAAATTTTGGAACTTTATGCAAATAGAAAGTATATGCTTGAGTCCATTAGTTTCAGGCTGTCCATTCATTTTTTATATTCAGCTTTTAATATCTGTGTTACATATCAACTCTGCTGTCATCATTCATTTAAAACTTTAACTAAATCTCAGAACTCGCTGTATTCTGCTTTTTTTGATATTTCAGAATAGGACGAAGTACTAACATTTGAAAATACCTTGCTAAAAAATTACTATAATTGGCCCAAATTATATCAAGAAGTTCATTGATCAGGGAATAAAGGCAGGGAAAAAAGAAGATGAAAATTTGCTTATTTAATACTTTACCATTCCAGTAGCAATGATATTACTTGCAACCTGCAACTGATCAGTTACGGTAGTGAAAGCATACTATTTCATAAACGTTTATATCTCTAGTTAAGCTATTTATCAAAAAATACAAAGAAAAGCTTTATAATTTAAGATAAAAGAAATTGTCAAATACGAGACAAAACAGTTGAACATTGCCACAGAACATATCAATCCCATTTCCATCCTCCGTGACCAAACGAATGATGACCATCGTGATGTGGGTGATGGTGGAAATGTTGCTGATGCCACGGGAAGTGTCCATGATGGTGATGGTGATGATACTGATGCCAGGGTTCATCCCAGTCATCGTCCCACCAGCCAGATGCTGTCACCGATACTGTCAACAGAGCTAGCAATAATATTGTGGCAAATCGCAGTGATACCATCACTGCAATACAGATAATTAGCATTTAAGTCATCGAATTACGCCACAAAAAATGACCAAGGAGATAAGTTAGGTAATTATCGATTAAATAAACTTTAGTAAAAAGGGATGACTAATGGAGAAACTTACTGAGTATTTGTTAGAAGAGGTCTTCTGTTCCAGTTGCTATAAGGAAGTTCAGAAAAGAGATGCTTATATATCAAATACTGAAACAGGCTTAGAATTAGGTTAATGGGAAAAGAATTTTTTTATAGATTCTTGTTGGACTGTAATTTTCCCATTTCCAGTCTTACAAGTAATATTAGCTTTTGGCCTAATTTCGGGTATTTAAGTTGTTCTCAATTCATTTCCACCGCGACATTCTCATTAATTCTTCTCTTCCTCATTAAGTTAGAACAGGGCAATATTCTCTAAATATTTTTTTAAATTTTTATTTCTGTTCCTCACACAGTACTGTTCATTAAAACTGCCGAATAACAATTTCAAGATTCTTTCAGGGGGAAATGGTATCACTAAGATTTGCCACAATATTATTGCTAGCTCTGTTGACAGTATCGGTGACAGCATCTGGCTGGTGGGACGATGACTAGGATGAACCATGGCACCAGTATCATCACCATCACCATCATGGACACTTCCCTCATCAACATTTCCACCATCATCCATATTACGGTGGCCATCATTCAACAGGTCACTAAGGATGGAACGATTTGTTTGCTGTTGATACTATTCGCTGTTTTTTTTTTTCTGCATTTATCACCTGAAAGTGATAAATGATAAGAACATGTGTGTACTCATAAGACATTTGATTAAGAGAAGGGAAGAAGAGAGTTAACAACATCACTCGAATTTTCAGTGATAGCGATTATTGGGATGCTATGATTATTTCATATTGTAGCGATTGTTGGGCTGATACAATGTGTAGAAGGAAGTCGTAATTTGACAATACTGTTCGAAGTCCTTGTCCTGCAGTCCTCAGACTCTAAAATGAGGACACAGTTATTTAGTAGAAGAAGCTAAGAAGTCCTATGTCATATGATTTAAGCCATACTAAAGCCGAATAGAGAACGTATGCCAGGTGGAGACGGTAGAGATGAGCGAAAGTGCTGCTGAAGAATGCATTACACAATGTGTATGTGTGCATGTTGTATGTGGTGTATGTGTGCATGTTGTATGTGGTGTATGTGTGCATGTTGTATGTGGTGTATGTGACGCATGTGGTGTATATGTTATAAAGTGTAGGGAATATTCTCGACGGTGCAATGGGAACTGTGGTTTAGGCATGCGCTTTGATGTATTGGATGCGTGATGGCACACTCCCCCCCGACAACGAGGAGTCACCTGTCACCTGACTTTTGGATTGCTATATTGCTAATCGTGATGCTATTGATAGTGAGAATGAATTCTTCAATTGCTATTATCGTATGATTTTTGCTGACAACAAAAATTTGTGTTTATTGAAAAGATTGAAGTGAGAAAGTGACAATTTTACAAATATAAATCAGAAATCAAAGAAATCATATCGCGAGCCACTTTCAAATTTGTCCTCTTCCAGTATTGACAGCATTTTTTCAACCGTTTCTTTAGGTGAAAGTGTTCGCCTGTTCACCTAAAGTATATTTTTTTAAATTCGGAATTATTTATAGCGTTTATTTCTGCTCTGCCAAGAATTTAATTAGGTTTTACTCGAATTTATATTTGAAATATATAATTAAGATTTGTAAGAATTCTTTTGCATAAAATTTATTGGTGTAAAATTTTAGAAATGGAAATAAATAAGTAAATATACAAAGAAAGAAAAAAAAACCTCAGTGCTATCAGCTTGCGCTTTGAATGATTTCCTTATTCCTTCATCATATGACCTATAATTTTTTAATTATATAATTTCAAATAACTTTAATAAAAATCCAAGTGACTGCCTGCTATTCATTTAGTTCATGAGAAATAACTATTTAATTTTTCTTTTAAACTTTCGTCTTTTTCCGGAAAATATTGCAGTGTGAAATCAATTAATCCACATTGCAGCATATGAATATACTGATTTGAAGAACGTTTTGCTTTAAATGTTCATTGTCACACCTTTTAGCAATTTCATTATGCATATCGGTTTGCACTGGACCAGGTGAATAATTTAGAATTCGTAAATTACGTTCCTCAACTGCTAACGCTCGAAAGAATGCCTCACGAGCAGCTTTTCCAACAGAATACTGAAGATTGTATTCCTTTTCAGGTTTATTCCCTTTTTAAACTAATTTTGAAATTAGCTAAGGAATGTGAAAGAAAGAAATACAACGTGAATATGTAGAGGAGAAGTAAAATTTGAAATTAAACAAATAACCTGAACCATGGATGGGAATGCTTTTACAGCTAGTAGTGATGTTACATTTAAAATATAGCGAGCCGGAGCTACCTGAAATCTTGTTACTTTCAATATCGATTACTTTCAATTCTTAAATTTCCTATTACTGCACACCATTTTTTACCTTTTCTTTTTAACCTACTAAGTTTTCTAGTAGTTTTATGCAAATTTTATACAATTAAAATAGTATTTAAGTAACACACATTAAAATTTTAAATTTTTACAAAGTTTGTTGTTTTATTTTAAATTTATTAAAAATAATCGTTTCTTGTTGTAATTTTTTTTGTTTATTTATGGCATGAAATGTTATAATTGATTAAGCATTGAAATCATAGTATGTAAAGTATATATTTTAATTTATATCACTGAATTGATTGATTAAAAGTTCAACTATTAAATTGTATAAAATCAAAGGAAAGCAAAAAGTGTTGTACCCGTTCAGGAATGGTACTTAACACTGAATTGTTTATGAGTACCACTGAAACAAAGTTAATTTGCAAATAGCTGTGCCAATCATCCGAATTAATAATTTCTACGCCTCGTTTGGTAATATCACCAACTGTCCCAGCATTATGCACCAACAGTAACACATCGTATGTTCTTGAATTTGCTTTAAAAAAAAAAAAAAAAAAAAATCCGTTCACAATGAATTGCTGTTATTCAATATTTTCAATGAAAAAAATCTCAATAATAAGTAGTAAAATTTCAAAATTATTCGAAAAAATAAATGAATGATGCTAAATGAAGGTTAAAACCTATTAGAGACGAAATTGCTCCTTGTAATTCCAGAATTTTGCCCGAATTCAATTTTTCAGCATCGCATACCAAGACATGAATATCAATTCCTTCGACACTATATAAGATTTGAAGTGATAAAAAATTGATTGAAATGACGATAATTGATAGAAAATTAAGAGAATCAAAAAAGTGAAATGAAAAATTTGATAAACCTGGATTTGATTTCATCTCTTAGCTCTTCAAGTTTTGCAGCTGTCCTTGCGGTGATTAAAAATGCGGAACCTTTGGCAACAATTTTTGATAGCTGTAACACTGTTTCTCGACCAATACCACGACTTGCACCTCAAATTTGAAATTTAAAATATTAATTGCTTATCTTTACACCAGTAGCAATATATTAGCCTAATTAGCTTTATATGATTATGAGAAATTTTAATTTTAATATTCAATGATTTATACACCTGTAATTCATTCATTCTATTTGGCTATTTTATAATTTGATTGATAAAAATATTTGCATAACTAATTCACTTACCAGTAATAATTGCCAAAACTTTACGTCCTATAAAAGTCATTATGGGTCCAAAATATCGTTAACGGTCGTTTTAAATAGCTTCTACTCGTTTAGTTCACAAAATTAAAATAATTCTGGTTTTATTACAATTATAAATTGAAGATTACAATCATAAAAAACTGAAAAAGCTATAAAAGATGATTAGTGTGCAAGCGCAACATTCCCGATGAAATAATCTTCTGTAAATGAAACTTTTAAAAGAAAATGAAAATGCGAAGTATGGAATAAATCATTTAGGCACAGGTAATTTTTCAGAACCTGTTTGTATCATTGATTATCAGTTGACAATTTGAGATCTTTTAATTTCACACTTCGTTATCATTAATGATCAATTCAAAACAAGCTTGTAAATATTAAAAGAGTATCGAAGAGATTTTTTTTTGTGTGTGAATTCATTGATGTGATTATAGTTAAGAGTATGCTAACTAAAAGCTTTAATCAATTCATAGTTCTAATTTTATTCCATCGCAGAAATGAAATAGTAGAAAAGAAGGGAAAAAATTAAAGAATAATTATTGGATCGATAAATATATAATATCCTTCCTTGTTTATTTCATTTCGATTAAATTGTCTGTGCTTTTGAGCACTCTCTTCAAAAGAACAAAAACAATTTCTTAGAGTAGGCAGAACTGGCAGCTGCAGTAGATTGAAAGGAAGGCAAAATGGAATATTTATTTATTTCAAAGAATCAGAAATAAAAAGCCGATGGGATGTTGACGTATTTGTTCAAAAGATGATAGAATAATAAACTAATATTTTACAGATAGTCATTTGATATGATATGATGATTAGCTTGCTGATAACAAGATAATGCCATTAATGTAGGAGTTAAGAAGGAGAAAGAGAGGAAGTAAAAAAAGGAAGATATATTTGATAAGAAATAGAAATGTAAGCTGAATGGCATTGTCATTCGACCAATAATCATCATATTGGTCGATCGATCAATCGATCGATGGATCGGTTCACTGATCCATAATAGTTATGCCGTGATGATGATTTATAATATTTCTATTAAGAGAAGTAAAAGTTGAATTAATATAAGGTTTGAGTTACAAACAGTTCATTAATAAATCAATTAATTAATTAATATTAATGAATATTGTAGAGTGCTGAAGAGAGATAGCAGTTACTCTTATATGCAAACAAAAAATGTTCCACTTGCGCTTTGCATACACATATAGATAGCTTACTTGCATGTGATAAGCGACCAAATAATCATTAACAGTTGAGATAGATGAATAATTTGATCGTAATTACTGGAAGAGTTAAAGTTAAAGTTAAGCAATCAGTACTTATCACTATCGAGTTGCCATTCTTTTATTTGTGCTAGCCGTTATGTTGTCCACTAATTGTCCATCATGGAATGCTGCAAGTGCTGTTATTGACCATAGTGAAAAGCATAACGGGAATAAACTTTTTTCGAAATTAACAAAGTGTCAAAAGAGTCCGAAATGTTACGGCAATCACCCGAATGGACCGAAATCATCCGAAGATATTAAAAGTGGTGATAACATGATAAAACATTTCAATTTGTCGCCCAATCAAATTGTCATTCAGATTTGATGCTATCATTGGAATGTTATCAGCACTCTGATATCGCTTCTATCAGCACGCAAAACATGCCGAAACATTTTTTTCTAACCTATTCTTATTTCTCCTTACTCTATTCTAAAAAATAATTTGCTTACAAAGTTAACATTCCAGCTAATACATATATTGCAATTTTCTCAACATCTTACTAAGATTTTTTTACTTGATACTACTTTACAATAGTTGGCCATCCATTTATTTCTTAAAATTTACTTCTTTGTACTTTGAAAATCAAACTTTTGAAAAATATTAGGTCTTGTGGTTTCCATGGAGACAGATTCGATGATTACCAATGAAAAAATGAAAATAGAAAAATTGTTGCAGAAAAGATTTTTTAAATTTGTGAAAAATTGTAAGCAAATAAGATGTTTTAAAAAATGAAAACGTCCAGAATCTACCAAAATAAATTTGATTTGTTTAATTATCAAACGAATGTCATCATGTAAGATTTGTCAAACTTCTATCTAAAAATTAATAAATATTTGTAAACTAATAAGATGACGTTGTTTTCTGAAAGACCTATATAGGGTTTTCCTTTTTTTTTTTCTAAATTACAGTTAATGATATATTTTGAGTTGCAGATGAATGATTAATTATGGTACGGCTTTCTTTTTTTTCCAAATACTTTAAGTAGAAGAAAATGAAGTGTTTACATCACAGTGTTTTTTTCAATAGAATTAAATATTTAGAAGTCACCAAATAGAAAATGAAGTAAATAATGGATTGCAATTTTGGATGAGAAATTTTTTTTAGTATGTTTACAATTGTATATGTATCACATATTCAGATTAAACTAAATAAAAAACATAGTAAAATATGACAAAGCTGAAAAAAGTTTACAAAATTACCTCATTAAAAGTCATTAAAGTCTCATTCAAACCTCATTAAAAGTCATTAAAGTCTCATTCAAACCTTATTAAAACTCAGTAATTAATTTACGAATTCTCAGATATCACTTAGCATTAGTGAAGATACGAGATAGAATGATAAGTATAATTGCATTTCCCGTTGGAATAATGAATGTGAGTGCATGCAGAGATTTATGAAAAATTAAATTTAGGTGAAATTAGACAATCAGTGAAATATGACATTGCTTTTGCATGTTAAAGATGAAGATTAATGTAGAGTTCAAAGTCAAGTAGTTTAGAGTAATAACGGTAATATTAAGTAGTCCGCAACAACTTTCAGTAAAAACGCAAGCATTTAGACGTGAACCTACGTTATCTTTTGATGTTTTCTGACCTTTTACACTCTCATATAATTACTTTATTAAAATTGCAATATGATTAGGAAAAATTGCAATACGATATTCAATTGTGCAAAATTTAAAGTTTTAAAAATGTGAAAAAAAAAAAAACTTAATAAAAATACATTGAGTTAAAAAAAAAAATGTTGAGCCATAGCAAAGATTATTAGCTTTAGATTATCTAATAATTTTTCATTCATTCTCTCTCTCTCCCTCTCTCTCTCTCTCTCTTTCTCTCTCTTTCTCTCTTTCTCCATATACGTATGAAAGAACTTATAATGATTTGTCAGCGAAGTTTTCTTGATTTTATTCCTACGAACTACGTTACATAAAGTGTTAATGCATATTGATAATGTACTGATAACTTCTAGAAGCGTTATCTACGAGCATGGAAAGATGCGGAAGAGTTTGAATGAATGAGTGCGCGAGATCAGTCAAACTGAAGTTTAGGTGGGCATTGGCTCATACTCGCAGTAAGTAAACAGCTGTCACTATCGAACGAATTTACTTTTTATACAGGTAAGATAGTAAGAGTTGTTAATTGCTTGTAAGAGTGACTGTCATACCGACAGACCTCTGTACTCGATGTTAGACAAAGAGCTGACCAAAAACCTTTTAGCAATCGAATCTCAGTTTGACTTCTAAAATTTAAGGTCGCAAGAAGCAATGTAAACATTCTTTGTTAACAATGGGTAACATTCTAGATAAGGTAGATAAGTTCAGCTGAAATTGGAAAATGAGTGAATGTTGGATAAATGATTTGTTAGAAATAAAGATAAAATAATTTTATATGAGAACAAAACAATTTTTAGTCTTATGGATTTAATAAAAATCTATTTCGCTATATTATAATTTAGTCTTTTCGACAGTATATTTATGTAAAATAATCAAAATGAAATTCATAAATTTGAATTAAATTTCTTTGAGGTTTACATGAAAAATTTTTCTCGTTTTTCTTCCTATTACTTTTTAGCTATTTTGTTTTATTTTATTTTTTTAAATGAAATATTTGACATAGATGACATGCAATTTTTGTGCTAATAGACTAATTAATTTAGTGACAGTGAAATTAAACAAAGAGTAATAATTGAAAAGGCAGTCAAAAATAAAAGTTGGTAAAATTAATTACAGTAATGAAGAATGAGAATTCTATGAAAATAAAAATGACGAAAATATTAAAATCAATTTTCATATTAAGAAATGTCTTCTCATTAATTTCAATTTCTAACATAGTTTTTATTTAAATATATGTGCATATATTTAAATCCTTCCATCATTTTTCTTGAATATGCTAAAAACATTCAAAAAGTTTAGTGCTTATTTTTTAGAAGTAATAAATATATTTCATCTGTGCCACTCGTCACATATTTTCTTTTTAGGTTTATTTGATACTGTACTATTTGTTGGAAATTTAGACATGAAACAGTTAATCAGATTATAAGAATTGATAATTTAAATGGTAAAATGAATGACCTTAAATACTGAAATAAAAAACAAAACTTTTTATTGAAAAAAAAAAAAAAACCACAAATAGATTAATGCTTCGTTAAAAAAATTAAATAGCAAAAACATGGAATAATAAAATTTACAGTTTTAATGCTATCCTAAAGTTGTTAAGCATTTAAAAAAATTTCAACTCATTGATGTGAACTATCAAATACTTCTTTTTTCTAAAACAAAAAAAAAAATTAAAATGTGAAAATATAAAAGCATAAAATATATTCGAATTATTATTTTAAGCATTGTAATAAAATACTACCAAACATAAACATAAAACAGTAATGAATGATAAATAATATTTTAATTCATTGGATAACGTTAAAGAAACATTTTAATTTTCTTCAATTACTAACTGTAAAATTGCTAAAAGATAATAACAGACAGTGTAGTATTAGTCTTCCTGAAATCCAATCGAATATGATGGAAAAATTATCTTTATTTCATGTTTAATCGAAATTATTTCAAGTCTAATCGAAGGCATGCAACATTTTTTTTTTTTTAATATGAATAATTCCTTGTAATAGTACTATGCGTAAGATAGAAATAAAAGTAAGAATCGGGTTAAAGGTTAAGTACTAACTTGTTGTATCTTATGCATAGAAAAAGAACGTCGAATTCAACATTATAAAGAATGTTGACATTTTTTTTTCTTTTTAACTTGTAACTAAAAACTTAAATAATACGGAAAATTATTTTTTGATATTGCTTACTAATAATAAAAGATAAAATTAAAATATTGAAATCATATGCTTCTTGACTCTGCAGAATTAATAAGGGTCAAATTTGGTAATTAATTTATAAAATATGCAATTTATCTCTCCTTTTGTAACTCTCTCCACATCAAATTAGCATTTTTGTAATCTTTACAGAATCGGCTATAAAAAAAAAGTTATTACTTCCTCGGTCCCACCTTCATTAAGGTTAATTAGAGAACTTTACTTAATAATAGCAGTAAGTATTGTTACTTTACAATTTGATTGAAACGAATACTTATGCATAACTTTTCGAATTCCCATAATTACTTTAATGGGCCTTCTTTTAGTTAAAATCGAAGTTACATTTTTCTTACTTTATTTTAAATTGCTGTGAGTAATGTGTAAATACATAAAGAAGTGTTATGTGAAGAAATGAATTCAACCGTACCATCCGCTTAAGATCTTCCAGACATTCTATTATTAATTAACAACTGACTCAAGTAGAAGAAATAAGAGTAAAAAAAAATTTATTAACAAGCCGTAATATTAAAGCTAGCTAACTAGAGGAACAAGTAAACAGAAAAAAAAAGTCGAAATGTTACAATTAGACTTAATTAATTAATAACAGTATAATAATAAAAGTAATTAGTAATGATAATAAAACTTAAAATTTATTTGGGGAAACATGAATGGAGCATATTCTCCAACCTGTCGCGCTTGCGTCATTTTTTCTTCGCCGTTTTAACAATCGATTGATGGCTGAACTTTCAAAGAATTTACCTATTTGTCATGTCGGAAGTCCGTGGAAGTCAACGGTATTAAATCTAATAAAATTAAAAGTTACCGGAATAATAATAAAAGTAATTAGTAATAATTATAATAATAATAATAATAATAACTGATGATAATAGTTATAATAACAATAATAACTAATTTATTAATAATAGTATAAAAAAAAATAATAGTTATTATTATAATAAATCAATAATAATAATAATAATATTCATTACTATTTAAAATGGGATTTATAATGGCAGTAAACGGAACTGTATAATTCTGTTAAATTGAAAATTTAATGAGAAGTTCCATACCAGGCATAAAATCCCTTACAATAAAGTAATTGTCTTTGCAACAGAAAGGCAAAACATTACGGAAAATGGAGAGGTAAGAGAAAAGGAAAAAACGAGTGAAAAATGGGGATTATAACTTCTAACTGAAGTGGAAACTATTATTTATTTACAACTATGTAACTCGGAAGCAAAAAATATGAAGTCATATCACAATAACGATGAACAACGAAAAAGAAGGCATTTAATGAATACAAAATATTTACATTTTATTTTTAAAATTAAGTTAGAAACATTAATATTCTTTTTTCATCTCTACATCTGATGAATGTTTCGTTTCACTGAAAGTGAGATTTTCAAAGCATTCAAGGGTAAAATCCTGAAATGTTTCATTGATGCATAACGATCTCCCAAAGGGATTATCAGATGGTGTTTCATCAAGGATGCTCATCTTAGTTTTCCATA